GACCAAGATGCAGAAGACGCTGAGGTATGTGACGTTCGGTACCAACTTGAGAGTCTTGCTTGCACCATCTTGCACCTGAAGTTTGAAAACCTAGCAGGGTATCAGTGGTTGTTTGACTGCCTGTTTTGGCTGATCATTCTTCTTGCATCGCCATCCCTTTTTGTATCTTTCTTTCCTTCTTTCCCACCGTATTTCAAATGATGATTTCTGCACATAGGAAAGCTTTGGGGCTGAAAGAACGAGGGTTGCGAGTGCGACCTATCACATGGGTGTTTGATCCAGTCTCTTGGCCAAAAAAAAAAGTATTACTTCGGAGCTCTAATGCAGACAGAATACCAATTTCTCCTGTAATCCTAATGTAGAAAATGCCAAACACTTTTCATAGCGATGACTTCCAAGGCAACTGTGTACGGTTCCCGAGACGGATGCCTATCTGGACTGGCTTGCATATCGAAGGACGCTACCAACATTTTCAAGTCATCCAAAGCTATGAAGAGTGGGGTAGTTCACGACGTACACATGCTGCCACGGACGGAGTTCTACAAACCTCCAGTTGCTTTGATGCATTCTAATTACTGCTTGGTGTGTGGGTTGATTGAACGATGGAACTACATAACTTAAATTCAGGGTGCGCTTGCAATCGTGAGGCATCCTCTCCCACCAAGTCGAGCCTACCCCATCTTGGACGGGCGCTGACTGACATCCAAGAGTGGAAGCAGGTGCCTTGGACTAGTTTATGTGCTGATAGATAGTGCCATTGTTTCTGGTTCAGTGATGTGTTGTTCATTGTTGATCCAAGTTTCATTTTTGAAAAGGTGTGCATATCTTTCTTGCATCTTCATGTCAGAAGAACCACAAGAGCCTCTTTCATTTTCAAAACACATCTGCCGATGGTCAACTGAATCCATAAGATATGATGTTTTCTGAGTTTGTAGCAATTTCCAATATTGTGAGGTGGCAGCCGGCACGGACATCGTGAAAAAGTCGCTAGCGGCGTTCACTGTGCCGACCGTGGCCACTACAATTGTTGTGGATGGCATGGCCTATGATGGGTTTCCCGCACTGGCAGCCCTAGAAGATACTTGCCTTTGCAACCCCCCAAAGAATCATAAGTCAATGATGCAAAATTACTGACTTGAGCGAATGCATCAGCCCTGTTCTGATCTTACCTTTTGCATTTCCATTCAAGTTTCTTAGATCCTAGGAAATTTGCGAAGGAAAGACTTTGATATCTGCATCTGTGATGTTGGACAAGCCAGCGGAGGAGTTGGGCGCACGCTTGTCCAATCAAATCTATGAGAGTTGCAGGGCTGGGAGATTGGAGTTGCAAAATTTCCCAAACTTTGAACCAACAATTGCCGCCTTGAAAGCTGGTTCTGCTAGAAGGGAATGTGGTGATTACAAAGTTTGCAGGCAGCAGGGTACCAAATTGGTTGTCCTTGAGTCTCTGGCTTCCAAGTTTTTGGAGACTGAGACGCTTGCTGACCGTGCAAGTGACTTGATCAAAGCTCACAACAAGACCTACAACCCTGACGGAGATTTCATGGCAAGTGAGAGGCGCGGACGGGTTCTGCCTAACATCACAAATAGGTATTATCTTCTTGAATTTCAAAACGAAAATAAACCTTTTGACAATGGATGTCTATAAACACATACCTTTAGCGTGTTTCTTGCTAAATAGTTTTTTAAAATCAGAGTTGTATCTTTCTCCTTACGCGGGGGCAGGGCTAGAAAGACAAAGGGAACCATGGACAGACGCACACACGCACACGTGCCCTGATACTATGTGTCCACCTCAATGCATTTCCCCTCAATTCCACCTAGTTGGATATCTCTGCCAGGACTGAGGCTACAGAGGTGCGAGAGCGACCGACGAAGAGAATCAAACTGGAACCAACTGCTGAAAGGCTTACCAAGACTGACTTGCAAAAACTGGAAGACCCGCAGTTTGTCTTCAAATTATTCACGTTGGAGTTAGCACCATTGAGTAAACAAGAAGTGCGCATTTTTAGAAATAGTTAGTATGCTTTATGAGATATCCTGTTGATAATCCTGTTTGATCTGGGGCAGAAGCTTCAGATCAACAACGCAGCAGAGCTTGTCAGCAATGCTGCCGGTGACGCCTTGTATCTTCTCTCCACTTCTGCCAATCAGTTCCTGCAGGGGCGTGAGATGCTCGAAGCTCAGTCGACATGGGCGTTCCAGCAACACATGTTCCGGGATATAAGACCATATGACATGATTGTATGAACTGTCCTTCCCATCTTGGAAAGTCAAAAGTTATATAGGAAAGTGAAATGGGTTGTTCAGCAACCTAGGTTCAGTTTTGGATCCGGAGAGTGGAGAGATGGACAAGCAACTTGGTAATGTCACCATGGGGCAGGTGTGGGCACAATGGAATGATTTCAACATACTTTTGAACAAATCTTGTGATTGCAACTCGGAAGCCGTAGAACCAACTAGCTGGGTGCACACAATTTCATGTCTCAACATTCAGGGATGTTCTCAATGTGGAGGCATGGGGTTATCGAATCCAATTCATCCTGTCTCTAAGGAAGGGCGTGAATCTATGGCCGACGCTGAAGGTCGCTGGTTTCCATTCTGCATATCTTTGGACTCTGCGCTGGTGATGTTGGAGAAAAAACACTTGCCTGAACACCTGACCTCAATGAGTTGCGTTGACACAACAAATACCTTGGGTACTGTGCTACTTGAACTTCAAGATGCCGGCGAGGCCGGGTTCAGCCATCTACAAAATGTCACAGCCTAACATGTAGAGCCCTTTACACTATATAGCATGTTTATATATCATATTATCCTGTTGGGAAACGAGTGCAACACCTCAAAATCCTAATTCCATAATATCCTAATCATATCTCATACCAACCATATAATAATATCCATCTCCATCAGCCCGCGCCCAGAGGTGAAGGTTGAGCTGTCGCACCACAAGCGCACTGACGGCGTCTTCCAGCAATCGAAGCCGCTGGTGTTCCTCCTGGATGAACCCAAGGTGTTAAAGGAGGAGAGCGAGGTGAAAGGAAAGAAAAAAAAGCAATCCAAACCGGTGTTTACGATAAATTCAGCATCTATTTTGGGGGTGTCTTTGGACGGTTTGATTAGGACATCATACTTAGGTCATACTTGGAGATTTCAGATACCACCGCAATGTTTGTGGAACCATGTTTAAAGCTGCATGTAAGTGTATGTATGCATAGTTGTCGAAGTTGGATTGCTATCTCAGGTTCTCAACATCAAGAACTATGGTGCTGTCTTGAATGTATCTTCGGTGAAGCAGTCAGCCAAGCTGGAGATTGCCTGGCGTATGAGGCCTCGACATATGTAACGACCACAGTCAAAAGCAGTTTGATTTTTTTGGGTATTTTAGTCCCACCCGAACCAGCATGTATGGAACATGCCCCACAACCTGTCCATTACATGCGTAAGAATCACATGGGTCGGAGTCGGAGTATGAAACAGCAAGTGATTCTTGTTTCAAGTCCATCATGTTTTTTTTGCACTGAGCACTTTTACCATCTTTTACCAACTTACCAGTTTGGTTCATGTTGTCCATATATATCGTAAATAGATCATTTGTTTGTATCCTAGATACCATATTCTGTTAATAGTAGATTATATCTTGTTGGGATCCGATGCTAAATTTTCAAAGCTTCCTTTGTCTCTGCGCCACAGGCTTGACTGCAACGCTGGAGACGGGGTCAAGGTTTTGGTCCCGATCAGACCGATCGCAGTCCTGACTGGCTCCATCGATTTGCCAGCTGGAGACAATGTACTGAGCCTGCTGTGAAAGGTTTTGACCATGGAAGCGAGTGTTGGCAAGGGATTTTGATGTAAGCACCACTGACCATTGGGATCTAGAATCAAAAAACAATGTATTTGTTTTTACCATCAAATAGAATCAATAAAGTTAGAATCACAGAATCTTTTTGCAATTCATGTCTGAGTTGGATGATCCTACCATGGTGCCCGGGCCCTTTACCAGCTGTTTGCAAACTGCATTGTTTGCAGTTCTTTTGTCCGGCTTTGGAGGAGATTGGACACTCAATGAAATATCAGTTCTTCCTTGGTGGAAATATTTCAAACAGAGTTGACCAATAGTTGAAGTGTCCAGTGGTCTCACCCTTTTCACAAGTCGTAGCAACAGACTAAAGATCGGAAAGCAACCTTGTTGAAAAACAAAACATTGTCAAGATAGTTGTTTCCAAGTGATGGGGTGATGTCCTGACATGAGTGATGCGTTGATAATTGAAATCTGTTTTTTGTTTCGCAGGCATTCTAGCACTAGTGTGGACTAGCTTTGGGGGGCCCACCTACGATGGCTCCAAAAAGGCCGATGCGTACAGTGTCAGATGATGATGATGGCAGCGAATCATGTGAGGAGGTCCGACCCCGGGAATTCTTCCGGCCACCGGCACCATAGCAGCAACAATGAGCTGAGAAAAAGCATTCCTTTTCACAGCCCATTTTGCATCATGTTGCTTTCTAACCAAGCCCCATCCCACATGTGTTACACATCTGACTTTGGACCCTTTCCTTTGTGTAACCAAAAGTTGGGTCAGAATATAACTATTTGTGATTACAGTATTCTATTTCTTAGCATTGCCCCATCTATCTAGTTGGGAACGTAACCTATTGTCGGGGTATTTCAAAGCTGTCACCCCGCCGAGGCATTTAGCCTTCAGGCAATTATGAGGGAGTCCGCTCCATCTGCCCAGCGCAGCAGTGCCTCCTCAGCACCATCGGCGCCTTCGAGCACTGCCGCCCCTCCTCGGATCGGCCGTTGCCAAGCTCAATTTTTGGACAATTGGATGAAAACCCAGGTCAAGGAAGGTCAATTTCATTTCAAGTCGGAAAGATGTATGATCACTACTCACTATACCGACCTGATTTAGGTTTCATGTCAATTCTACAGAAAGGGTGCCATTAAATTTTCAATGGATGGTTGGATCTAAGGACCAGCTGATGTGACGCCAGCTGCAATGGCTTCGCCCCTCCCTCCGCGCTTTGCTGAGGAATCATCTTCAGAGACTAGGATGCCAAAAGACGCCACGGGTTCCAAGGGTGGTAAGAAGCCCAAGAAAATGAAGTCTAAGTCTAAGAAAGATGATGAGTGTAAACATGAGAAAACCAAAGAAGAAGAAACAGAGGATGGTTCCGACCCGGATCACACCTTTGAAGGCCGTGATGATGATGATGATGAAAATGAGCCCGATGGTTCCGAGCATGGATCTAGGAAGAAACCTGCGACCAAAGGCAGCAGCCAAGATTCTAGCAGTCGCAAGAAACCAGCTGCTGTGATGAAGCGGCCTGCCAGCCAAAGGAAGGAAAGGAAGGCTTGTGAAGACGCAGCACAGGCGTGCCCTGAACTCACTCATACGATATTATGTGCGATTGGGGGGTCTGTTCATCTTACAAGATTCATGTCTTGGCAGTGTTCATGCGGTTTTTCACCACTGTAATTTGGGGTTGATTCCGAATTTTTTTTGGGGGAGGGCATCCAACCGTTGGACTATGGCAGGAAGTTGCTGAAGGACAAGAACGTCTCCCCTTTCAGCATCTCATCGAGGACAAGGACACAATGCTTGACACTCCCAACTCCAACAAGCCGTTCCTCGTCATAACATGGTCTTCAAATCACAGTTGCCAACAGACTCAACAACGTTCAAATACAATTCCCAAGTATAATCCAAGAAAATAATTGTCGGATGAAATTAAGTGCAATGACTTTATTGGTATGACGATGTCTCTTTTCTTTTTATTTTCTTTCACCTCCACAACATACCTAAGGATTCCAAATGACGAAGATTTGCTGTATCCCGACAACCAGCTTGGACTCTACCCGAATTCGGACGAGAAATACCAGAAGGTTTCCTGGCTGAATTAGTTCAACTCGTCATGCATTCCCTCATATAATTATCATTTTCCATTTCCATTAGCAAATCCTCCATGGTTCGGAGCACCAGCCTCCAAGCTCAAATTCCAAGCATATGCTCTGCAGGCCTGCTGCTATAGGCTGTCTATGACTAGACATTCTACAGCAGCAGGCCTGCAGAGCCAATCGCCATGCGTCCTTAGGTTTGGAAATGGGTGTTGCATGGTGTTGCACCATCACATTTACTTAGAAGAATGGATGAAGTCGTCTTAAAATTTAGTCCAACCACGTTTCAATCTCAAACAAGGTGAGGGCCAACCAACATCCCAACACCAATCAAAAATATTTGAAAGAAACTGATTGGGGAAATCATGTTGGGAGGAAGCGGGGTTTTACCTTTAGTGGTGTTAGTATGATTGGTCCAAAAGATTGATATTCTACAATCATGGGGCCCATACGGTTTAGATTTAGTATGATTGGTCTAGCAACCTAGCCATTAAATGCCATTAATTATTGTTTTACGTTTCTTCAGATTTTGTTCCACAATTCTAAAGCCCTTCCACCAGCATAAACTTATTGTTGTACATGTCTTCTACGTATCCAAAGCCCATTAAAGCCTTATCCCTTAATAACTTACTGTTTTATACCTTATATATACGGGACCGTTTTTCTGCTTCTTCTGAGGCCATGGAGGAGATTCAGATGCAGATCGACGACGTCGCTGAGGGAGATCCCAATTTGGGCAATGGATCTTCAGCCCCTATGGTGCCAATGCTTTGCACTCCTCCATGTGCAAAGCGTGCTGTTGCCACACCTCAGCAGTCTGCGGCCACATGTCAGTCTGCTGCGGATCTTCATCAATCCGAACAACCCAGTCAGTCCCAGAAGCTTGATGGCAATGATGGAGAGCTTGTCTCACTTGACATGCTTCTTGCGACGAAGGAAGCAGTGACCCAAGCCCTTGAGCTGGTGACAAGCCACATGGAAAGGACAGGGATGTCCGTTGATGACTGCGATGTGGGACTATGTGAGCAAGTTGCTGCCGCCGCAGCACCACCTTCGCCACCTCCCTTGCTGCAGCCTCCCAACCTGGCTTTCCCAAGCCCCTGTGATGGTGAGGTGCCTCAGATCAAGTCTCTGAGCGTGGCCGGCCCTGGTCAGGGCTTCGTGGCCAACATCAAGATTGCCGCTGAGTTTCAGCCACGGATCGAGCCAGGATCCAATGCCGAGGTTGGTGATGGAACTGCAACCCCTAGCTCTGGTCCTGAAGAGGAAATTCAGGATGATGTTCGTGGTTTGAGTTACTCTCCTAGCATCCCGGCTACCCAGCTTGAGGCAAGCCCGGGAAAGCAAGGAGAAGATGAGGAGGTGAATCAGGCTCCTTTCCCAGTGGAGTCAAGCCCAGAGGCAGACCCAGCGCCTGATACTTCCAACCCATGTCCAGAACCCAAGCCGGAGAAGTCAAAAACTGCTCGCAAACGCCCGGTCGCCACAAAGGGCGACAATAGCAAAACCAGTGCAAAGAGCAAAGCAAAAGCTAGCGCAAAGAGCAAGACGAGCAAAGCAACGCCCAAGGCCAAGAGCGTTGCCAAGGCCAAGAGCGTTGCCAAGGCCAAGAGCGTTGCCAAGGCCAAGAGCGCTGCCAAGGCCAAGAGCGCTGCCAAGGCCAAGAGCGCTGCCAAGCCCAAGAGCGCTGCCAAGGCCAAGAGCGCTGCCAAGGCCAAGAGCGCTGCGACCAAAACCAAGACCAAGGATGGTGAGAGACCGGAAGATGAAGAGACAATTTTGAAGCGCAAGCTGCACTGTGTAGCTTGGTTGTGCTTCAAAATGGGAAATTGTTAATGACAATGATATCATTTGTGTGACGCCAGCAAAAAAAACATCATTTGAGCCTTGCCATACCTGTGAGGTATACTCGGCTGAGTCCAAACGCCTTGCGGCCTTGGGAGTTTCGCCTGCTGAGAGGAAACTGCTTGCAAATGAAACTCGCAGAATGCAACTCGGCTCAAAGCGGCCATCAAACTTGCATTATTTTTGGACGTGTGCCATGTCGAGCTGGGAGTTAAATTTTCCCCCATATCCACACTTACTATCCCTTACCATCCTTTTTCCTTCCATCGATTTTCACTACCCTTGACATACTTTTAGCCAATTTGTTGGTCCTAGGTGGGCTCGGGAGCATCCGGATGCAGCCACCAGTGCTGTGATTGCCAAAGCCTTGAACATGTGAAAAACTTCAATGGGAACCAGTGCAAACAAGGTTCCAGCTGCGTTCTTAGACGCATGCACCACTCGCGGGGGTATCGCTGAGCAAGAAAAAAACGGCGATGGATGGGATGCCTGGGTGTAATCAATCATGATTATGGGATATTATGGGTATTACTGTATGGACAACATGGTTTATTCTCTTCACACCTCCCGATCCAGATGCTCAATGCAAAGGAGCTAGTTGCCATCATAATTGCATATATATTATATATTTTATATTACATATTATATATTGTATATATATATATACTATATATATTATATATTATATATATTTATTATATATCATATATTGTATAATATATTATATATTATAAATTTTATATTATATTATATATATATATATAGTATATATAGTATATATATATATATATTATATATTATATATTATATATAGTCTATATATATATTATAGTATATATATAATATTATATATATATTATATATATTATATATTATATATTATATATTATATATATTATATATTATATATATTATGTATAATATATATATTATTCATATTATATATTATGTATTTTAATATATATATATATATAATATAATATATACTGTATATATATATATATATTCAGTAGGTGGATAAATGGATTTACACATGTCATGTGCATGATGTGTGTATGTGTGAAGCTTGGCCTCTAAGTACATGAGCCAAGTAATACCCACTGGCGTGAAAGCCAGAACATCAGCAAGGAGTAATTCAAATGCGGGAAGAGAGCAATGTGTTTTGCTGACTGTTCAAGTGTGTCGGATTTTTGCCTGATGATTATACATCGGATATTTTGCCCATATATTTGAATATCTGGATTGTTGCCTGATGCATTCATCGTTTGTCTCACAAGACTCGCAAGGTGGATGTTGGCCCTGTGCTCAGCAGATGAACAGCTGGGCCGCCGGGCCCTGAGGAGGGCCCTTGAAGAGGGGCCTTTACCGCTGAAAGGCGCAGGAGATCAAAGCATCCCAATTTATCATAAATGGGCGGTATAAACATGTATAAACCATGAATGTTGATTAGGGGTGATTAGGGTAGTTTCTTTTGTTGCTTTATGTTGCTTTACTAGCAAACATGAAATTGGAGATCAAAGCAACAAAAAATATGTGTACAATGAGGATTGAATAGAACCATTGTGAGATAAATACACAAAACATATCATATCCTATTTTGGTGTCTGGGAATGCGGAGACCCTAATGGGTAAGTTCAATGGGGAAAGGATGATGAAGAGGATTTAGGGGTCCCCCAGTTTTTTGTTTATTGGTTTACAAAACAAAGATTTATCCACCATAAATCCCATCGTCAGCATAATGAAATAAACAACAGACACCCAGCCTTTGGGGGGAGGGACCAAACACATTTTTGTTGACCCATGCCTATTCAACAGACTCTTGGGTATGCCCTTGCCAGCTGTAAGCTGGATGAGCATAGCTCGGCGAGGCCCAAGATTGTAGGCGGTTAATACCCCAGGAAACGAACATGCCCAGAAAATGGAGTTGGAAGATTGTTATTCAACACTTTAGCCACATTCCATGGTACCTCAGTGTCAACGTCCATCAACGTCCCTTGCAACGCATCTATCACATCGCCAGAGGTGAGCACCTGGCAACCCACATCTAGATACTGTATGGGGATTCAACCCCCCAAATAGTTAGTAAACCCTAATAAGGTGCTTGGGGTTCACCTTGGGGGCTAGTGAAATCCATTTAAATCCGAGTCCATCAGAGGCTGGGGCCACCTATGACTGCAATTTTCTTTGCATTTGTGCCTGGGAGCCCAGAGCTTGGGCTAGTGATTCCATGTGGAAGAGGGGTGGAAGTCCCATGTGAGAAGAGCCACTACAATTGTGTTGATAAGAATCATAATTATGAAGTGACAAGAAGAAATTCTAATCATTGATAGTACTAAAAAACTGATAATATCGATATCTACAGTCCATTGTTCAGGCTACGAGATCCATAGCCAGAGGGTGACTTGAACGACTCAGGTGTTGGGCGATCGTACAGCATACAGCCTATGCAAGGTGAGCTCTGGCGCTGGCTTAGCTGGAAATCTGGGAATCAACGAGCTGAGAACATCCACAGCGTTTACAGGAACAAATTTCAGTTATGCATGTAATAGCATGTATAAGTGGGTGATATGTTAAATATATGTCTCGATTTATGAAAGGCTAATTATTTCCTTTGCCAGTATCATGATTGTATTCAATGCAAAGTCAATGGCCACATCTACTGGCCCTTTCCCAAGGCCATTGTTTTTTGCTGTCTTTGGGTTCCTCAATGTTTGGGCCGAAAGATGCAGAAGAAAAACAAACAACTTTGTTAACCGCGAAGTTTAAACCAATCACCACAGTGGTTACCTTCTTTTTTTCATAACCGAGTCTTTAAAAAAATCGTCACCGTAAGCCAAGTGGCTTGGATGTATCATGCTGTGCACCTGTCCTTCATCTGCCAAAGCTCATCCATGAAGGGGACGGCTTCTCCTATTTGGATTGTCGTATCATTGGTTCATTGACCAGTTATTTTTGATAAGAATGATACCTACCAAATTAGGTTGTTCCTATCAGTGAAATTCTCAATATGTTGGAAGTATCACCATTTTGTTTGTTGAACTATTGTTTGCATCAAACCACGACTCCAGAGTTGTTGTTTCACCACTTCAAACATCACTGCGCAGGAAATGAGTAATCAGATGAAGCTGACCCATTGTGTCTGGATCTCAACTTCAAAACCACCAGCGCCTGTTCAACCGGAAATCGGAGGGTTTTTATGGGGTCAGCCGCCGGGTCAAAACGCCCAGCCGTCGCCGCTTTGCCCAGGTCAATGGTTTTGTGGCATCACCGAGTGATATGCCAACGTGCGCCGCGAAGCGCGAAGCAGCAGTGGTCGGGTCCAACTAACAGCAGGGCCCTGCATGGCCCTGCCTGGCTGGTCGGTTCAAAGGTTAAACCAAATGCCATAAACCGACCATTTGGGGGCGGTTGAAAAAAGACCCCATTTATGGTGATATTGGGGATGATTTATACAGTAAATGGGTTTTCCACATTCCTGTCAGGGTCTATATTAATTGTGAAGAATGGTATTTCTTAAGGTATTTCTACAATGAGATTACATCCAAGGAGAGGGAAAGAATTTGGAAGAAGGGCGGATAAGCAGCTTGAGCCTTAAATCCTGTGATGATGCAGTAGGTGGCTTAAGAATCAACTGATGGCTGCATGCTCACAGATGTCGCTGCAGAAAGCCTTAGAGGTATGGGCAGCTGGGCTGCCAGGGTTTCATTGTTTTGGATAAAGAGTCGGGTCCTGAGGTGTCTTGACGGCCGTGACAAGTATGGCAGGGGCGTTTTTTTTGTTCAGGGCTAGATTGAAGGAAGGTTCTGGAGGAGGGTCCGCAAAAATTCTTCATATAGTGTTGATATTATACTATACGCATGTGCATACACACAAAAATGATTAAACAATGAAAATGTATGTATATATATATTATATTATATATATGTCATGTATATTATGATCGTAAATATGTACATGTATGTATGAGTTTGCATTAAAACAAACTGGTCCAGGACTTCCCATGGTAAATATTTACAATATGCATTGTATGTGTACATAGTTGTGATGCATCATGATTCTGCATAGGTCATCATTGGGTGTTTTATCGGATGCTGACTTGCACCAATGACCGACACTGAGGCACAATGTCATTTCTGCGGGTACTACACCTTTCATGCAGGCGCTGAACCACACATTTTCATACATTGCGGACATGAGTGATGAAAGGAATCATGCATCATGGTTGGTCGGTTGGTTCTTCACTGGGATTGTTCTATGGCAGTCACAAATCATAGGAATTATGGACAATGATCTCATAAATGTCCCCGTTTGCAGGGCTTGATGTTGGACGAGAGGTGCTGCCATGAGTCATTGTTCAAATAGCTAAATGATCATTAAACATGGACCCCAACCAAAAACATGTGTGTTTCAGTACCCAGTGCAGTTTAATGGTAATACTGGGATCTGTTTCATTTTTTTAATGGTGGACCACATCCAAAAGTATCCCAGTTTTTTCCCCTGCCAGGTGAGGGTAATTATGCCACGGGGATCACTGACAGCAATGTTTTATTCCTTTGCCCACAGCGGCCCAGCTTTTTGGTGGGATAAACATATCATTCGAAATATCACTGGGCTATTGATTATCCCACCCAAAATTATAATCATGATAATCATCTATAATCATCTATAAAATTGAGCTATTTTGATGTTCACTGGGCTTCCATGATAATCCATGGTACAGTATTGACTCATAGCCAGGCTGCAGATTTTCGACACCGGCGCAGGTTCGTGCTGTGGCCTTCCAGCATGTCGAGGACACCCGTGCTGGGACGGGATCAACCTATCAGTTTTTTCAAAGTTTGTCTAAGAAATAGTGATGTGGTGTTTGTGCACATTTCTATAGGAGTTGCTCCATGAACTTAGTGACTTAGTGTTGTAAAGTTGGAGTGGTGGATCTATTTAGATGGCCAAGTATTAGCCAAACTTGGATTGTACCTCCTGAGGTCCTGAACCTAACCGCAAGTACGTGCATGTGGTGACTGGGCCTTTGAAACCGTTGGTGAAAGCAAATCAACAAGAAATATCAAGATATATATATATATATAAAAGTGACATTTTGCACCAGACATGGCAGGCTTTGCTCGATGCACTATGCAACAACCGCCCTTTGCCGAGCATTTGTGGCAGCCTCAAAGGAATAGGTCGATCAGTAGTGCAGTCACGAAAGCAGTGGCCGAAGTCAATTGTTTTCTTCACCATGTTCCTACTACATATATACATATATTATATTAAATGTTTTATTTTATCTTATACATTATATATTATATATTATATTTTATTTGTTATATTTTATATATTATACATACTCTAGATTATATATTATAATTTATATATATACAGTTTAAAATATATATAACATATTATATATATAATAATAATTATAATAATATTAATAGTAATCATAATAATAATAGTAATAATAATAATAATATATATATATATATATGATCATATATATATATGATTTATTATATACTATATATATATATATTATATATAATATATAGGTTTCTTTTATATATAATATTATATATATATATATTACATTTTATATATTATATATAACATATATCATATATAATATATAACATATATATAATATATTACATATATATATATATTCTATTAAACATATTCTATTACATACATCATGGATGGTGAATCTTCGCACAAACGAGCAAGCACGGGCACACTGGGCCAAGGTCCAGGTGAGATGGGTGAACTCATCGACACACCTGCAGGGGCAGAGAAGCTCAAGGGCATGAGGCCAACCCGGGCAACCCCAATAGCTGGATGGTTTACCCTCTGGTAAACATACAAAAAGCTATTGAAAATGGCCATTTATAGTGGATTTTCCCATGAAAAATGGTGATTTTCCATAGTTATGTCAGTTTACCAGAGGGTATTTTATTGAAATCCATCTTGAATGGCTATTAAAAATGGGAATATTAATTGAATATTATATGATTTAATGGTGATGTTATCGGATTTTATGGGATTTAATGGAAGTTCATGGGATTTACCCTCTGGTAAAACATACAAAAAACTATGGAAAATCATAATGCTATTAATGGGTAAATCAACGAACTTTCTATGGCCATGTTCAATTGCTATGTTAGTTTTCTAGCTAGAAATGGATGGTAACTAGGGGTACCCCCATGACTGGATGGAAACTTCTTCCTATAGAAGGGGATGGTCATCAACCCAATATGGGATGGATGGTCATAACCCATATACAATGTTATGACCGTGGCACTTTTTGATTCAAAAAATCAGTTTGATCCACTGGTTGATCACAATTGTCCCACACGTAGTTTTTGTTAAATGCCTTTGTCAATGCCTGACCTAAATGGATATGGATTAATATGAAAAAATCCCCCAGCCCACAGATGGTCGTTTCAAGTGCATACGCACCATCCCATTTTTGTGTCACCCAATTGTGACCATTGTGACATATTGTGACCCACCCATCGAAGTCTCAGAGTATCTCAGCATATCTGCAGCGCACACTGTCGCAGGGGTGTGTGCATCAAAGTGGCCAACCGCAAGGCCACGGGCAGCCGATCATGGCCGATCCCATCCAGAATCCATGTTGTAAAAAGTCACATGGGTATGGATCAATACCTATTAATGCCATTTTTCGGGGGATGAACATCCATTTACCAGCTATTTTGATGTTCACCAGGGGTACAAGGTTTTGACACACTGCCACATCTTAACAATTGGAGGTGTTTGATATTAGGGGGAAGGGATTGTAATCGCAAGTTGGATGTGTAAATATATATGTAAATTGCATTTGAATTACGAACCAGCTTGGAATTCAGAATTTCCAGTTGCAGGTGTTGGCACTGATCTACTGATCTGGCGTGTAATTTCGTCTGTTTGGACAAACTTCACGCCAGCATGCAATCAACAGGTGGACTTTGGCTTTATGGTCCCAACCTGAGTTTGAAGCTAGGTTCCACTGTAGTCTTTTAGATGGGAAGTCGGGGCATAACCGTTATAATCATGTCTAGCCATGTTTGTTGCATGTTGAAGTCTTGTGAGTTGGGTATGGGTCAAAATTAGGTACCCCAATAATTGGATGGTTAATACTAAACTAGACTAACATCTGTGGTCCCCTAGGTCTTCCATTTTGACCCACATCCAGTTTGATAAGCTGTTTTTTTCTTGCATTTATTCAATTTGATTCCGTGTGCCACGGTATTGATGCAGTCGGAGTCTTCCTGCATCACCGGCTAAGGATGGTCCACTGCGTGGCAAGATGATTTCGGTGGATGAGTCGATGGTGCACCTCTCGCAGGGGTTCAACAATTGGATGGGGGAAATCCCAAGATGTAATGATTGTAATGCATATAGTACAATTGAGGTCTGGTATGCTTAATGTGATTTGTTTGGGTAACTAAGAAAAGTTGGCTCGATGCAGTCAGATATGCAGTCAGATATGTAGTTAATTGCTAAATTGGGATGATTGATGTAGAGAGTTAGACACCATTATCGAACTGTTTGTCAACTTCATGTCAGTGTTTAATACCTGTCACGATAGGTCCCCTTGTGTGTTTCACATCCAACGGGGCAGACTGGTGCGGCGCCTGTTTCTTTGTTGGGACTGTTGATGTTTGCAGAAAGGTTTTTAGGGATCTAGGGATGTAGATACACACTCTGGCAAAATTACTTCATCATGCTTTATATATATATGCATATATATGTATATATATATGTATATATATATGTATATATATGCATATATATATATATGTATATGAATTTATATATATATATATATATGTATATATATATGTATATATATGTATATATATGTATATATATATATACATACATGTATATATATATATATATAGGATTGCAATGGATTAGTTACATAGGAGTAGCTTGCAGTTGAGGGAATCGCCCCAGTGCACTTAGGGCAGTTGTTTTTGTTGGAGTGTCCTAATCATATATTCCCGTGGCTGGCGCAACCGCGCGGAATCCCTACCTATGCTCCATGTATAGTATATTTACCTACATTTGGGAGGTTTCGGGGTAGATTACAATGTATGGCACAGAATATGGGTAATGGCCCACATATGAATAGTGGTCAATGTTTGTCTCAGTTTTTTCCCGCATGTAGTAACCAGGGTGGCATTGTTGTTTGCCAGAGAGTTGTTCCACGTCATTTTGCAGCGTGACTCACACCTCCGAGGTGCGTCCGGTGGCTCATGATGAAGAGAGCAGTGCTGGAGGCTGCTGGGAACTGAAGATGTCACCAGTCAAACTACCGGGTTAAAAAAGGCACTTAAAAATTTAACCCCTGGAATGCGGCACCAAATGCGGAGCTGCAAGTTAGGTGTGTTTTTGGCATGTTTTGGCCACATAGTCGTTCAATATTTCACTCCCGATTCCCCATTTGGATCCATTTGGCATTTTGATTGTGTGCTTCAGCATAAAACTGGATGATTGGTGTGTACCATCGTTGTTGCTGGGTTTGCCATATTCTCATGATAGAACTGGTTCTGAAACTTAGGAATAGATAGGAGTAGTGGTTGGGATTGGTTGAGGTTTGTTCGTCGGTATATCACCAATCAACAGTATGGATGTGGGTGAGAGTTTCCATCCGAAGTAACCACAGATTTCTATAATATTTTTTGGTCGAAATACTGAGGTTTTAGCAACTTCAGAGACCCATGCCCAAAGACCACTAAGTTGCTGTGAAACACTCAAAACAACAGGCGAATAACTGAAATTATAATGAATGATGTTCTCACCCGGTTGATAACCCAGTGGCGAGCAAGAGGGTTTCATTACTGTTGGATGCTTAAGTTTGAGACCTGTTGGGTGGTCATGCTTCAGGCCCATATCAGTGAAGGGTCAATGCAGAATCATAGCAAAGTGTTCAAAGGACGCATAAAGAAACAAGGATCGTGTATGTTTACCAAAGTTTACCCATATATATATATAAAGTATGAAAATATACATTTGATAATTGTTGCGTAAATGTTGGTGCATATTTGGAGCATTTGGGATGGATATCGCACGTCGGACAGCTTGTGTGGGGGCGTTTTCACAGACCTCCCCCGACCTGCTTTTTTTGGGCTGATTGTCCTTAATGTGGTAAACCCAACCATCCCCAATATCACCATAAATGGGTGGTAACCACCCCCAAATGGTAGGTTTATCATTGGGTTTACCACATTACTTGGGGTGATAGTCAGAACTTGCTCATCGCATGATCCAGAAGAACGATAGATAGCGAGATGGGGTACCCTGAATATCCACTGGCTTGTCACAATATTGAATCTGGTTCAAATTGCCATAATTGGGGTACAGCACCCAGTCTTGGACACATCCAATAATTACCAATTTTCTTGCTTAAATGATGTTCAAATTGTTGTTGAATCCCAGATTGTTGGGAGTAAACTCTCCATGATTGATGCTAAGCTGCTAAATTCTCAACCCCCTTGGTTTATCCATTGCCATGTCTAGATCATTGGGTCAGGAGGATGCAGCACCGGCACCTGCGGTGTTGGTGGCACTTGCGCTTCTGGAAATTGTGGGCAAAGTGGTGTCAGCGACAGCAAGGCCGCGGTTCTTACCGACTGGAGGTTGGTTAGATCGTCGGTTTCATGGGTGGTTGGATGATGTTCGCTTGGTGCTTCAACCATTAGGTTGGATGATAGTGACTACCCTCTGGTAAACTAACGTAACTATGGAAAATCACCATGTTTAATGGTTAAATCCACTGTAAATGGCCATTTTCAATAGCTATGTGTGTTTTGCATGTTTTTGCTTTGTATCGATGATGCGGGATGATCGATCCCTAGCCATCTGCACTTGGCCAGGCCCCAGTGGCACTTTCTTGGCAAACCAGAGCCAGACTAGATTATAACATATTATAACGACATCATCACAACATCACTACATCCCAGAACGGCCAAAAATCCTGCTCTAAAGCTTTTACATCTTGGTGAATTATTGTAATGCATACACGGCATAATTGGCGTGACGGTGAGAAACCCAATTGTTTAAACCTTCCATGAACAATGATGGCAACAACCCATTTAGAGTGATTTTTGGGATGATTCAGTCTTGGGTTTGCCAGATTATATAATATTCATTAGATACCCATTATAATTATAAACCTAATCCCACTGATTCACCATGAAAGTAAGTTAATCCATAAATCCCATTCATCAATATACATTAAATCCACTTAAAGCCCATAAATATACATTAAATCAAATCCCAGATATAATCTCAGTATATCCCATAAATAATCCCAGTATATCATCAATATCATCCCATAAACCTCTTTCTGTTCACATTTGCATGTTGCCTTGGTCCTGGAAATCAGGCCAGCTGCGAGGGTGGAAGTTGTGCCAGCGGAAGCTGCAAACCAGGAGACAGGGCAGTGTTTCAGCTGGTCCGGTCATAATGTGGGAGTTTCGTTGGAAATCCACCCAGTAATACTTCCCATAGGATCCATGTATGGTATATATGGTAACATTTACCATGAATATACCCCAGTCATGTTAGCATTAATATACCAGCACCATGGATACTATGGGCTTATTCACCCATTATTTGTGGATTTCCAGTAAGGGATGGATGATAATAAACCCTATTATACCATATTATACCCTGTCTGACCCTAGCAGTGGCACATGTGATGCTTCAATGGGACTTAATAACCAACCATACTACGAATGATAACTGGAACCATTGTGGGATATATAACCAAGATATACCAAGATCATTATATGGGTGTGTCACAAAATTGGGTTGCAAAATGATGATCAACCCAGAAAATTTAGGTGTGTTCATTGTATTTTCATGTATTTTCTGACAATCCCAAACATTGATTGACTGGCAAAAAGATATGAACGATAGAGCGGAGAATGATATGATCAATCATGGTGTTGAATAGCTGGATGATTTTAAGTTACGGCCGCAATGGCTCACAGGTTGAAACCACCAACTAGATGTCACTAAAAGATACTAAAAGCGAAACATGCGACGCTTAAAAGGATGGATCAAAACTTCATGACCCTAAAGTTGAATGGATACTGTATAAATATAATATATACCTAGGTCCACCGAAAGACGTTTTTTGGGCGGTTCGTGTTTTTGATCGTATTCGTGTGACACAGATTTGGCTTCATTTGTTTGTGCTTTAGTGTTGTTGTTTTTTTTAAGATTTGGTGTTGTGTTCTTGGTCTCAAATTATAGTCTGCGTCGTTTGCGTCATGTTTTGGGCGCGCGTCGTGTTTTTTGGCGATACAAAAAAAGACATCGAATGTTGACCAGGTATGTATAATATATAGTATGATAGATACAATACAATACATATTTATACTATTTATACTATACGGAACGCATTACTTTTTTGTTTAACGCAGTACTGTTCTTCAACAGGTCGATACACCTCCAGTCACGGACAGTGGCAACCCATCCGGAACAACAGAGGAGATATATACACTCGCTGCCACATCTGCCTTTGTTCAAAATTGGTGAGCTTTAAAATGGGACGCCAGTATGTCGGATACTGATGTGTTTGAAATTGCTGACAATGATGAGGCGCGTGCGGCATATAATGAAATGAAACTGCTTCAAGGTTCCTTCGAAAAAGAGAAAAAAGGCAGGATACCCGCCGCATTCGAATTCTGGCGAGCGGGGAAGATGTCTGCAACCACCCTGCCGCCCGGTGAAGATCAAACAAGTCATGCTGCTGCCAAACTTGAAAGCAGCCAACAGCCAAGGCTGCTGCAGCAAGGGACAGGTTGGCAGAATCCATTGCTATCCACAGTGCAGTTGACATGTTTCAATGACAGCACTTGTGAACCCAAACGGCGGAGGAGAACAGACCTCATTGAGCGCTATGTGTGCTGCTGTGTGTTTGGTTCTCTACATAATGTTCATACCGAAAGAGGTAGAGCGCGTATGAAAAAAGCTGTGTGAGCGTGTCCTTCAGCACCTGAAAAATGCAGCGTACATTTTTTCATTTCTGTGCGGCTCTCTTTTTGTTAGATTGCGTATGTGTTGCGCTGGACAAGCCATCATCCATGAAGTGAAGATTCCCAGCTTGCTCAGTAGAGCTGAATGTTCAATGTTCAACATTATTTTTTTAATGATTGCTTGTTGAGTGCATGTGTAGACGATGGCAAAACCAAAAACTTGCGCTTACATTCCTTTGCACTGCCTTGTTAAGCCGATCCACATTGTGTATGGGTAACGCTGAAGTGAGAACAATTGCACTATTTTCTTGTGTGGCAACCTTTGCGTTTTGTTGATCATTGATCGCTGACAATGGCAGCTGCGCTCAAGGCGTGTGCAACACAAGGTGATAAGGAAGGTGCAATCAGCCCTGAGTTGGTGGTCGTGTATGTGCTCTTGAAGCTTGGTTTTTGTAACTTTGTGTAGGAGCTTGCAGAGCAGCAGCCCCAAAGCCTCCTTGACTATATCGAGGGTCGTTGGTGGGGTGGTAAGGCAGAGCTTGCTCAGTTTGAGGTGTGAGCAACATTGTTCTGTTCCTACATAGCTGCATCATCTGATGCAGTTTCGTGATCACACAGGACGGCAAATTGTTCGTGTGGCCTCACTTCACGGAGGAGACATAGTGCTGTTGAACATCATTGTCTGCGTGTTAGCATGTTTGTGGTGATTATATATGCCAGGTGCCCATCGTGATGCCCACAGAGTGGACCGATGGCAACATGTGGGAAGGGCTTCCATACACAGCTGATCGCGCGGCTATTGAGGTGGGATGTGATCTGTGCCCTTCCCATCCCTGTTTGTCGTGTTGACCGTTTTCTGACAAGCTGAAGCAAGGAAGATGGAGGGGTATCAGTTCCACGTTCGCCTACGCAAGTGGAGCAAGGAGTGTAAAAGTTGTACGAGCATGGAAGCATGCTTTTGCTGATGTCTGAATTGCCATGTGTGTTTGCTTGCAATGTTTTCTCATACTCTTGTGTTGTAATTTCATGTATGCTTGCAAATATCACGCCTGGTTGCGACATGCTTTATGTCAAATTTTACGGCAACATCGTGGTTCCTAGGATATGGCGACCAGCCGGGCGGGGCTGTATGTGATGCTATGTCATTGTGCATGTGTTTTTGTTGCTGCACGGCGTTCTTCAAAGTTTCTCTTGTTGGTGATGGCAGCCAACAAGCCGGCAAGGCCCAATCTCTGCATTTTTCTTTACAGCGCGAACATCTTTTTTTATTTGCAGATGCCCATGGATTTATCCTCTCGGGTAGAGCTTACGAGCACGTTGTGATCGCGGCTCGGACATCTCCATAAATTGAATGAAACGTTGTTGTTGCGAGCCTTGTGCGAGTAAAAACGAACAGTTAAGTCAGTAACGTGATTTCAGGTATCATTTTAGCAATAATATAGTTCTTATTTGAATATATATATATATATGTTAAAAACAAAATTTCAACGTTGACAATGTGCACATATGTATTTATTTTTGTATATACACCTAAAATAAAAATGTTTAGTTAGTGTATGAAATAATTCATGGAATATACTTATATAATCTTATATATATGATGTGTATAGGTGTATATATATATATGTTTACATACATATATATATTATATTATTTATTCATTTGTCACAAATAATCATCATTCAGTGTGCCATGCCGTAACATTCTGGAGTAGATAAAATATGGAAATTTCAAAGAACACCCACTAAAATGGAAATATCATTGAAAATTTCATACACTATCTTCAGGGTGATTATATATGTATAATCCATGGAGATCATGAAAAATCCATCATGATAAAGGGAATCCCTCCCAACCCCTTAAATGGGGGTGGCGAGTATCTGTGGACTCCAAAAGTTGCCATTCACGACAGGAAAGGGATGCGACCCCAGCACCTGCGACGAAGCGGAGCGGGGCTCCTCAGAGGGTGGTAATGACCAATTTTGGTCATCCATAAAAGGGACAACAGTGTGGGATACCAGATGAGCCAATGTGTCACTTCGGTTTTTTTTCCATGTCGACCCAAATCCGACCCTTTGATGTTTTATGATATGATTGTATCCAAGTCCAAGTGACCTTTTCCAGGAGGTGAAACATAAACAAATTAAACGGGTCGCATTGAGTGGCCTGGTATAGGTGCGTTAGATGCTGAAAATTGACTTTGGTGATTTTTTGGGTATCTAGCATAGGTGTAACATATTATTGTATCGTGAAGGAACCCGTCCTCCCCCGTCATAAAGAGGTAGGGATATATCGCAATTCTGCCCATAAAGTCACAGATCACTTCCACTAAAAATTTGGTGAAAATCGAAGTCTCGACTTGGAGATGTATTCCAACATATGATTATCATGTTTTTCAGATTGCAGTGTTAGTGGTGGGTAAAACATCAAAACAGTGTTCTGCAAACCCAGATGCGCATTGAGATTGGAAGTAGAATAGAAATGTGACATACATCAGCCTGTCAAGATACACCACCTTGAAACTAGGTGGTTTCAAGTACGATTTATATAATATTCTATCCTGTTCTGCTGGGTTTGATGATTCAAATTGACCCATAGATTTTACTCATACCAAATGTATATATTAAATGTATGGAATTTGTTATGTAATATTATTATCCATGGTTTGGCATGGGTGGCTGAATAAGGAACCAGATCCATTCTTTTGATTTTCGAAAATGTTTCGCACGACCACCTGAAACGGTACCAAAAATGGTCGTGCTGCAGGTGCAAGATAGATCCAGCTTTTGTGGATGAGATCCTGAACATTCACAGTGTGAAGGCGCAGAGGAATTTCAGTGGCGTCACTTATTTTTGAACCAGGTTTTCATTTTGACCGCCTTTTCTTTGGTCACTGAATTGCTTGAAAAACTGATGGAAGATTACCAGGGGAATGAATCCCAATCAAATCAGGATCTGTTTCACAGTTTTTGGTATGAACGTTGCCAAAGAGGCACTGCCGGAAGAGACATGACAGTTTGTCTTAGCTATGCGGTTGATACTTAAATTTGCGTCAAAAAATGAGACCAATTGTGTGGTGTTTGAGACCCAAATTTTCAGGTGAGTTGGTGGTTTCAAACATGTTGCAGTCGTTTATTCGTCCATCCTACCAGTACCTGGGAGAAAGATTCCAATCGACGCATACATACATGCACATACATTATTTTATGTATTAATGTATATCATTGTATATCTATATATCCATCGCTGTCTGTATATGTAAATGTAGATGTATAGGTATAGGTATAGGTATATGTATATATATATGAATATATGAATATATGAATATATGAATATATGAATATATGAATATATGAATATATGAATATATATATATGAAAATGTTTTGTATATGTAAATGTACTGGTATATGTATGTATATATATATATATTTATGTATGTGCATGTGTATGTGTATGTGGATGTGAATGAATATGTGTATATATGTATGTATATGTAATATGTATACATGTATATATGTATACATTTATATATGTATATATGTACATATGTATATATGTATATATGTATAAATGTATATATGTATACATGCATATATGTATATATGTATAAATGTATATATGTATATATGCATATATGTATATATGTATATATGTATATATGTATGTATGTATGTATGTATGTATGTATGTATGTATGTATGTATGTATGTATGTATGTATGTATGTATGTATGTATGTATGTATGTATGTATGTATGTATGTATGTATGTATGTATGTATGTATGTATGTATGTATGTATGTATGTATGTATGTATGTATGTATGTATGTATGTATGTATGTATATGTATGTATGTATGTATGTATGTATGTATATATGTATATGTATATTTGTACAGATTTTTGGTGTGGACCATTTGCAACTCAGCTGTGCGCCAGGTCTCTTCGATGGATGCAGAGCATGCCGAGTGTTCCAAGACCTTGCGGGGCTTGGTGGAGAAGAGGCGAGCTGGAGTCTGAAAGGGAAGAAATGCCCGATAAAATAGAGCTGTTCATGGGAAAATCATTGGAAAACGAAGGTTTTCATGGGAAAAGTGACAGGAAGGTATGGGACGATGTAGGAACATATGGGATAAATGAATAAGATGAAGGCCTTTCATGTGTGGTAAGGCCAAGAGTAACCATCCCTAGTATCTCCACAAATGGGTCCTTTTTTGACATGTAGACCATCCCAATTTGGTAGGTTAGGTTTATTGCTGGGTTTACCACATATCATTCTGGGGATTGGTTATGGCTTTTACAAGTAGGCTACCAAAAATTCACATGCTTGAACAAATGGTGTTTTTCCCCATGTCATGGTTGGTTCTTGAAACCCCATTTTTTGCACAACCCCAAAATGTTTTTTTCGTGTTGGTGATTTATATTTTCCCCACTCGATCCCAGAATTTACCCAGAAATATATACATATATGACCATATTAATCACCATGAAGATTCTGAAGATGTGAAGTTGATGGCCCTTTTTTTTTTGGGACCAGCTTGGACAAACCAGGTAGACATGAATTTGCCCAACCTTCTCCCAGGTCAAAGGAGTCCTTGCAGGTGAGGCTTTTTGTGGGTTTTGTCGTCAGGGATTCTCCATTGGACCACCGGATCCGGGACATTCCAGGACCAAACCAGGCTTTTCAACTGGGACCTTTGGGAATATGTGGCTATGGATCAATACCTATGAAAATAGCATTTTTAGTGGGATGAACATCCATGAATCCCAGCTATGACTTGGGGTGAACAGAAGGTACCAGGGTTTATCTCCCCATCCCCATGTTATGTTCATAAGATTTTGAAGGAGGGGGTTACTAAGATTTGATCCAACTCATGAGATACTCATCTCAAACTCCTCTTGCCACGGTAATATCATGTAAATGGGTGTGTTGGTAAACCTAGGGTTCCTTTCTAATACATTCATCCTTTAAACAGTTGAAGTTATCGAAGATTAGCCCGTATTTGGGCATGGCCATGGGGTGAGGGCCAAGGCTCTTAAGTTTATTAAGAGGAGCGCCCAAGGTTCCCATATGCTCCACATCAGATGAATTTCATGCCTTCAATCTCAGACACCACGGACCCGTACGAATGCATACATTCCATCCATGGATCATTTGGAATTGATCATAGTCAAGATTGATGATAACTAAAGCTGAGTGGACAGACAGACGCCTTCTTTTACCAAAAAGACATGACAAACCCTTTCTTTTGCCACAAAGACTCTGACACAGTCTTGAGTCTTGGCTGAGCACCACACTTCAAGTGAAAACGAGGGGTCTCAGGGTCTGACATTCCAGAAGACATGAGCATCATGCCGTACCAATTCCTTCTGCAGGATGTGCTGGAGTGCCTTTCAGATCATTTCGCACATGAGGCAGCAGCTGAAGCTGTTTCATCCTTTGGAAGACTTCTCAAGCTGCAAACGCAAATGGGGTGTGGGTTTGCTACAGTATCGGGTGCAAGCTACCTTGCTTAGCAACATACATAAATGCAAAGAATTACATACATACATACATATATATATATATGTAATTACATTACACATATAACACATATATACACATATTCTGTTGATGTTTCCAAGTGCAACATTCCGATAGCGTTTGGTCATCCAGATGGGTCCCAATGGTTGGAAGCAGGACAAATGGAACGCTACTTGATTCCACCAAGCTGCACATCTTTCACTGGTTCACAGAATTGGATGATGGGAAAATCTGCTGGAAACCCCAGAAACCACTATAATTCATGGTAAAAAGATGTAAAAAGGTGGTAAAAAGATGTAAAAACAATGGTTTCCAGATGTTTTGCAACACAACCACTCTGGTTCGGTTTTTCAGCCTCCCCCGTCGCTACCGGTTCCGTGCAGGAAGAGCTCTTCGACGACTTCGGCTTCGGTGTGCATGTGAACGCTTGGGGCCTCGATGGCGTAGCTGGGAGCCAGGGAGAATTGTCCCAGGCTCAATGACTAGAAGTGTTAGTATGACTACAGGATGGGGCCCCCAAGATAGCTAAGTTGCCTTATAAGTGGCTGAATTCTATGGTTTATGGTAGATATAACTATAGTTAATGGGGAACTATCAACTAACAATATTTATGTCCTTTGACAATACGTATTTATTGATAGTCGTAGGCTAAATATTGATTGTTGATGATACATATTACTATCATCAACTATCAATATTTAGCATCAATACCATAGCCTCAAATTATCACCTGTCAACTATCAATATTTATCATCGTTTCTCTCCTGGATGGGTGAATGATTGGTGAATGATTAAGTTTTTTGTGTGCGAATGGAAGCCATGTTCCACTTTGGTGAATTCCATGATCTGAGATGATTTATAGTTATTTATAGATGTGGCGATTTGAGGAGACCAAGCCCCATAGTGTCTATGTGAAACAAAACATGTATATAAATGCAACTACTGTATAGAGTATTATATAGTTATTAATGTTGTGGTCTGAAATCCCAATTGGTATTCATGGAATGCGAAGGAAGAACGGGGAGATCTCATCAGTAACTGACCAGGACAATGATGTCTATGTGATGGAAGGTTGGTGATGTTTCAAGGAATTCACATTGCTGTATGGAGCTGGTTCAAAATTTGTATATTAGACATATATTCCATCTATCATCAAATTCAATTACGCATGATAGATAGAATTTACATATGACATCAAGTGAGTATAGGATAAAATTATCTATAGAATATCTATATCATTCTATATCTATGTGTCATACGTTGCTATTATGACTTGAGTTCTTTTGATATATCTCCCTTAAAACACGGAGGCACCAGTCCGGCCATCCTGGCTGAGGAGAAGCTTTCCGCCAGGAAGAGTCACGGCGACGAACATCGTCGCTTGCTTGAGAAGGCCGATCAGAATTGGGGGAAAGTGACGGTGATTATTGGCTATATAAGTCAATATATCAGTGACATATAGTGATATGTTGACTATCAGACCATCAGAATATCAGTGATAGTCGATATATCACTGTATAGTCAATATATCAGAATGTGAATATAGTGATATATTGAATATCTTGCATAATTCATATGATTCTATATGACTAAATAATGATAACTGACTGAGATATACTGAGATTATGATTTGATAATATTTGGTATATCATTGATAATAATTGAACATAATAGGACATGATAATGATTGAGATATTACATGAATCATCAGGTGCGAGACATTTCGATAGAATAACAAAGCATAGTGAACACACCAATTCATATGTTGTTTTTCCGTTTTTGTGGGGGCTGGGTTTCCAGTTTCGTAAAGTTTCACCATGGGACTATTGATGGTGACATATGGTGACAATATATATATATTAATATAATTATATTAATGGATATGTATAATGGATATTATATATAATGGATATAATATATATATATATATATATCGATTGGATATATATATATATAGTATACTCTATATAATGGGATATCATTGAACATAACTAATTACTAAAAATCTAATAATGTCTAATCATTCAGTGATGGCGGCTTACAGCAGCAGTTTCAATTCTATTTGCGCCGGGTCGAGTTATATCTCTAAGTGTTGTTTGAGACGGTCCATTTTTTGCTGGCAAAGTTTGTAAAGAATCACCCCAGAACGGTGCAGCTTCAATTCTCTTTGGGGAGTGAACGGCACTGTAACGTCACTCCCCTTGCTCGGCCCAAAATCACCATGTTCTTAGTTGAATCATCATTCCTGGCTATTTATTGAATCATTGCTGGTTGAAATGCCATGCTAAACAAATACAATCTATATATTGTAATACGCATAAGACTTGAATATCATGGGACATCATGGTACATCTCCGAACTAAATGGAGGTTTAGAGCCGGGGAAATCAGCATGTTCAATGGAAAATCCCTGTCGGCCAGGTCCGGAGACAGCTGGGTAGTGCTTCTGCAACCATCTCTGCAGCTTTCATCAAGGAACTCCTGCAGGAGCCTGGACAAAATGCTGTGATTTTCACTGATTTTATACAGCGAAACTTGGGATAAGACTTAAATATAGTTTGGAGTCTAGCCAGGATGTAGCGATGAATGATGAAGACATACAATTAACATCAATTAACATCAATTAACCAACTTAAACACCAGGAACTTTAAGGTGCCTCTTCAATAGTATTGGTTGTTTTTTCCCCTCACAGGGGCCCAGTGTGTGCCATAGCGGCGCTCCAAGTCGTGGTCATCCCCGATGGATTAATCCCAAAAAGATGGAAGGTGGTGCCCCGTTCGATAGCTAAGTTGGTGCAAATAACTCCAATCACTATAGTATCACTATGGTATCACTATGGTATCACTATGGTTTATGTTACCTATATCTATAGTTAATTAATTGGGATTATAAACCAATTTACCACTAGTACCTGCACGAGGCGGGGCGGAAGTTGCCTTAGGAATATACTATAAAATCTTTGTCATCTATAGAACTTGCATGCACCATGCGCCAGCCAGGCCCGTGCGCGCGTGCCTTGTGCGAAGCTGTTGCACGGTTGTTGTCCAAGAACATGACCTGCGCACGGCCCCGGCGCGATGCAATGCCAAGCAAACACTTTCTTCACACTGCACACTGCAATCTTCACACCCCGCACTTCACACTTCACACTTGCACTTGACATTCCACACTTCATCTCATATCATCTCATCTGAGCTCTTCTCACCTCACCATCTGAGCTCTGTTCATCTCATTTCACCTCTTCTCATATGTCAGCTAAGTTCTACTTACCTATTTTCATTTCATCGGAGCACAGCTCTACTACAAAGCATGTCCTCTGTAGCTCTTTCACATAGAAGCTTTGACACACAGCAAGCTTTCACACAGAGAAGCTTTCTTATTCATAATGACAGCAGAAATTGCAGCTCATCTCGACGCCATCCCCAACAAAACATGATTTAGAAGCACTTTTTAAAATCAATGTTAAAAGGAAAATCGCTAGCGGCAAAATTGCGAAAATCTGCTGACAAATCACTATCGCAGCCTGGAAGCAGCCATTCCAATACGATTCACAATGTGAGCTGCAAAAGACAATAGTATTACACGCGCAGCCGCGGCACCAAGCAACCTTGACGCAATCATTACATTGCGATCTGCAACCACGGATGCAACGAGCGCATAGAAGTACGCACACATGAACAACCACACGTTGCAGGACGCCAAGGGAGAACTGATTCGACGATGAAACGAGCGCAGCGGCACCCGCCGCACACACGAGGTACTTTTCAGCGCCGGCCGAAGCCCCTCTACACAGAAAAAACACACGGTTTCGTGCTCCAGCTACCTCCCCAAAACAAACCCCATGCAACATTCATGCAGCCATGACACTGCGTTTTGCGGCATCACGTGGCAAACACGCATCTCTCTACGCACATGACAACAAAACGTGACACCAATCATGCAGGCATCACACTGCGATCTGCAACCACTTCCCTTAGTCAGCACTTCCCTCAGTCACCATCCTTCGTCGTCACTTCCCTCCGTCATCAGCCTTGGTTCCTTACTTTCACCACCCTTCGTTCCCTACCATAAACTTTATGATCTTTTATGTGATAATTGTTATGCGATGTAGTGTCACCACTTCACCAACCTTTGTCACATGTATTGTTGTGTTATGTATTGTTGTGTGATGTATTTTCACCACTTCACCACCCTTTGTCAGATGTATTGTTGCGTGATATATTGTTATGTGATGTAAAGTCACTTGAATAAAAATCATCCGTAACTCGGAAAATTGTTTCCCAACTTCCTTTGATAACTAGGGGGGGCACCTTGTATGAGTTGGGAAATTGAAGATAAGACCACGGGAATTGGAGACTCCAAAGTGGAGACGAACTTGTGGAGTAGATCTGAATAATCGAACATTTGGATACATTTGGGTGAATGATGACAGCTGGGAATATGACCCGATACAGTCATAAGATGTTTTACTATTATCATGCCCGTAGCCTCATGAATATTGTGTGGTTATAATCAACCTGTGCCGGATCATCTCCAGATTCACTATTTATCAGGATGATATGACGAGTGATCAAAATCTGCCTGTTCATCATCCTCCATTCCTGAGGTCTCTTGGCTATTCATCCCCTTGTTGGTTGGATCCCCTTTTTTGTGTTGGTAAAAAAAATCAGACTTGTAAATTCAATCCCGATTTTGTTCAATATATCCACATGTTTGCCATCCACATGTTTGCCATCCGTATGTTTGTTGTTAAAATTGTGGCTAAATCTTCACGTTTGTTTGAAACCATTAGTTGAGTCCCGACTGCTGCTAAAATCCCGATTCTTAGTTCGTTCAAATGCGATATGTGTTGGTGAAATCACATTTGTTCATGCGTCAATCCCATTTCTTAATTGAATCCAACGTTTTGCTTATGGAACATGTTCAATGTATGATTGGTTAGATATTGAACACAACAATGCCACAATGTGCCATAATGTTCTATAGTTAACCCCCCAGTATACATAGCCAATGATTGAAACCCAGATAATTTTTGATTTTCCAAATGATCCAAAGCTTTCACCATTGCCAGGACTTCCATGAGCACACGACCCTCTACGACATGCAGTATGCCGACTTCTTAGCTGAGAAGGGAGCCAAATAGCCATCTGGATCCCCTCAGCATTCAACAGTTTAGATCCGATGATGATTGAAGGAACAGAAATCAATGTCGATATAAGACCGTTGCTTAAACTTGGTGAATCCAGCCACCGGGATCATGTTTGAGACCGGGAAGAGGGACACCGTCAGCTTGACCAAAGCGCCGAGCCCTCTGAAAGAGCTGCGCCTGTGCCAACACTACGGCCATGTTGATGACGTCGCTGCGATGGGGTGTCATCCGAGGATGTTTTTTTTTAATTCGATCCCTGTGGTACTACAGTATATAGAATCAATTAGAATCGTATAGAACCAAATATCATCAAATGACCAGTTTTGTTAGACGGTGAAGCCCACACTTTATGAGTCAAATGCTCCAAAGGAATGATCAATCCGGTATCCATACATATACCATGACACATGACACATATCATGGCTATGAGTCACTACGATATCCTATGGCTACTGGCTGTTGACTGATGACGCCCATCGCCTGGTGTTTGAATTGGCCTCACAGTGGCGAAGCAGCGAAGAGGCGCACGACCAGCCGCGCGGGGTCGAGGGGTGAAAACAGGCGCAGCGGCGCTGCAGCACAGCGTGCGGAAGCTGGATTCATCTATGGGAAACGCTGACATCTTTGCGGAAAATTCGCCGAAAAAACACATTTCGTTGAAACTCAACATTCGGATCATACGTTCGAATATGGATCCGGTGAAGATTTTGTTGGGGGGAATTGAATATCAGCATTGGATGGATCTTCCTGATAGTTGGATGGTGTGTATCTTTTTAACCACCTCTTAGCAACTCTGGTGTTGATGGTGTTCTAGTGATATCTAGTGATGCGTCGTTTAGTATCGTTTTTATATTTTTGTGTGTGTACGTATACTTATATATAATCTTATATACTCGAGTAAACCATGGTAAACATGATGACGAACACATGCATACGTATTGCATTGTACCATCACTTTCTTGAAAATCAACATTGAAGAATTGGGGTTACTATTGGGTCCACGGCCTTACTTCCATGTCATGGATCCCAGAAATAGATGGAACAATCGCTTCCCGTGCTTCCAGGATGTAAAAACAAATAAATCGATTATCCTGACTTCGTCAGTTCCAAAATAATCGCTGTTCTGCTTCTGTTGTTTCAGGGGTTATTAGAATTTGCAAACCAAAAACAACCCATAACAGTTCAGTTTTCAGTTTTCCTTTTTCATCTACCACTTTGGAGGGTGAAATACACGCTCGTATGGAGATAGGGCATCCCCATTTCATCATTTTCTTTAGCCATGGTTTATCGTCATGTTTCCCCTTTTTTCTCCATCAAAATGGCCAAACATTTTGTGTATGTATATATATATATATATCCCCGTCGAAAATTCCCCTATGAAATGGCTGGCCTCCAGGCCCAATTTTCGCCCGATTTCGTTCGGCGTCATTTTGTAGGAAATCACTATCAAGAGCCATTTTGTAGCATGTACTAATTTGAAGGGGCTCAAGGCCCATTTCGGAGGCTATTTTGTAGGGAGCCTGCCTGCACCTGGCCATAGTGTAAGAGCACAAAATAGATGATTTGCGCATAAAAAATCACTATCATATAGCAAACTCAAAATGCAGTTTGAAAACTTGGCTGGGTTGGGGCCATCCATTTTGTAAGGAATCCCTCTGTTGATTTTAATTAATCGTCATTTTGTAGGGAATTCCGGAATTCATGCTTTGTGTCCGTGTCAGCCTGGCTTTCCAACACAACTCAACTCTTGGGCAAAAGAAGAAGGGGTATGAACGCTTCACTTTTTGTCAGCATTGTAAAAAAAGACAGACCGCACATATCATGGAGCCCATTTCCTTACAAAAAGGATGGGTTGCTCCTTAAAGGCACTTGAGAAAAACGCAGGAAATGGCAGAGCAACAAGTTCCTACAAAATGATGCCTTTTTTGGGGTTCAGGGTCCAAGCATGCAAGCAAAAATCATACTCAGAAAAAGATAGAAATCAAACATCCGGGCAACATATACCTCCCTACAAAATGTGGGGGTGCTGCAAAAAGCTGGTTGATGCACAAAGCCCTTGCACCCATTCATTTTGTAGGCTTTTTGCAAGGCCCCGTGGTTTATAGCTACAAATAGCGGGGTCTGACCCCTTGGGGTGAATTTCAAGGGGTATATATCTATATATATATATATTATGTGTGTATATATATATATACAATGCAGACATATATATATATATATATATATATAATATAATTATATGTATATATATGTATACCCCACACATACCCAAACAAGTTTCGTGATCCATGTGCTGCATCCGTTCCAGGACCACGGGCTGAACGGACTGAACGGACTTCGGCGCTCGGTGTTTTGCACTATGGTGCGGGGCTTATTAATGTTAAACAGCGGGCTGACTTTCAAACTTTTTGGATCTCCTGCTCCTCATCATCATCATTATCATCATCATCATCATCACCATCATCATCATCATCATCATCATCATAATCTATGTCTATAAATGCGCATGTGTATGTAACAATGTAGGAGGCTTTGTATCGGATCTACTCGACATGTCGCTAGCATATACATGATCGATGTAGGCTCTACTTTACCCCCGCCCCCTGTGGGGTGGGTGGGGCCTGTAGGTAGTGTCTCACTGGCGCAACTAGTGTGTAAGGCGGTAAGCAGGTCGTATGTGGCTAGCATGTAAATGCTCCATCTAGGGTCTGCTTTACCCCCCCCCCTGTGGGGTGGGTGGGGGCTCGGTATTGTGTCACTGGCGTGAAAGGCAGTGGCTAGCATGTAAATGCTCTATCTAGAGTCTACTTTACCCCAACCCCTGTGGGGTGGGTGGGGGCTAGTACTGTGTCACTGGCATGAACGGCAATAAGTAAGTAGTTCGCCATCCAGGGTCTACTTTACCCCCGCCCCCCTGTAGGGTGGGTGGGGGCTTGGTGCTGTGTCAGTGGCATGAAAGGCAGTAAGTAGGTCGTATGTGACTAGCATGTAAATGCTCCACCTAGGGCCCTAGGGTCTACTTTACCCCCGCCCCTGTAGGGTGGGTGGGGGCTATAGGTACTGTGTCACTGGCATGAAAGTAAGTAGGTCGTATGTGTGGCTAGCATGTAGGCTCGCCTTGTTGTGCCGGAGGTTGCTGGGGAGGGGTAGCATTGGGGGGGCGGGGCTGCCGGCCCGGACCATATATGTGTATATCATAATCTCTACATACCTACATAGCTCAATACCTACGTAACTCCATAGATGCATAAATTGGAGATACATAGGTATGGAGCTGTGAAGGGACAGACAGACAGACAGACAGACAGGCAGGCAGGCAGGCAGGCAGGCAGACAGACAGACAGACATGCATAGAACGTGTCAGTTTGCAGACTCATTGTTCAATCCTGAACTGTCCAACAGACAGTTTGTATCAATCTTTCGAGACTAACTTTGCAAATCCAAAGCAAACATTGACACAGACAAATCTCGAGGAAGACTGTGCCCCCAGAATCCGGGATCCCATCAATTTTCCACCACAATCCGTCCACCAATTCAGCCATTGTTTATGTTCAAATCCTCCCAGTTCGTCGCTAGATCCAGATATTGAGTTGTTTGAATCTCCTTTTTTTGGTTGGCAAAACCATTTTTGACCCCATTTGAAATGTACCCTAGACAGTAGATTCAGATAGATATGATCACTATGATCTCGAGAATCTCGCAGGGGAAAATCCGGGTTGTTTTACGTTTCCTTGTAATGTTATATCAATTATATCTATATCTATAGCAATCGGGAAATATATGGGGAGTTCCATAAATGGGTTGATTTAGGGGTACCCATTTCAATGGATGGTAGATTTCATGGAAAATCCATCCATAAATGGGTTCTATGGGGTACCCCTATTTCAGGGAACCTCCATATGGACGTTCTTGGCTTAGGCAGCTTCCTCCGAAGATCTGGCATCTGCAGCTCTGCAGGACCTGGAGATTTGATGGAGATAATCTCGGTGTCGAAATAGCAATCACTTCAGATTGTGATAAATTTAACTGATGTCTGATAAATCGACATAAATCTGATAATTTTCTGATAAACGATTGGCAAAACTTGGTGAAGTGGTGACATGTTTCAGTGGTTTTACCCTTTCGGTTTGCCATGGAAGGGTCGGCACAATGCCAGGCATGCCTCAAGGAGGCCCTGGCAGAAGGAGTCCAGACCCCAGTCACTATTGGCGACCTCCCCTAGCACTAAGTACTTCAATCTGTTGCCACAAAGAGGGATGTTTACAAACCACATCAAACCACGCTAGATGTGCTGAACATTTATATTTATTTCTAATACTATATATTATATAGTTTTATTTCTTAATTATTATTAGTATTTATTTGTTTTTATTATTATTATCTATTTATTATTTATTATTATTATATATTATTATTTATTATTATTTTTATTATTATTATCACTATTTATACATATATATATATATGGACATAGGATTGGTATGGATTGGTCATGTTTACCCCTCTCTGGTTGGATCTCTCGTGCTGTTGGAAGCCACTGATTTTGCATCGCCAAGGATTTAAGGACTTTTGAGCGTTTGCTACATCACAGCCTGCCGAAGGACAGATGGATACAGATGGGCCATCTGGACCAGCGGACCAGCCAAGGGTCATCAGGTTGTTTTTGGCACCTTTTTTTAATTGAACCTTTGACCAGGACCAATCTATGAAATTGAGATTTTCATCACCGATTGAGAGTTAGTATATTAATTCATACAGTATACATATATAATTACATTTACGTATAATTATATATATATTATGTATATTCTACATTCTACATGTACAACAAATTCTTGGGCATTGTTAGTCAGGCCCGCCACAGGCACATTCAATTTATATGTCATTAAATCTCCAAAACCTGCCGAAGTATGGCTATGGCGAAATGATCCTCATTGGTATTTTTTTAGATCACCCATATTAAAAGCCAGGTATTTAGCACCAGTTTTCACCAATATCTCCCAATCTGTTGGCCTCATCCTGATGTTTGTCGAGGATCGCGGAGGCACAGCGGGGAGTGTCATGACTTTGAAGCATTGTTGGAGATTTCTGTGCAAAACTTGGACGGACTGTTTAATACTCTGGTCTTTTGGGATTCTTGTGGTATAAATGGAATATACTCTATTAATACTATGTATATATATATATATAATATATTATGTAACCAGTAACCAGATCAAACGACCTCAAAAAGACTGGGAGGGTATCTACGGGGTAGACTGGGCAGGGCTTCAGCCTTTGGAGATCCATACCGACTGTAAAGGTCCCATCTACATTTAAGCTATAGAGTTACATATGTTTATATTTGGTATTAAATGATATGTATTCTATCATATCATGTCATACTTATATCATATCATGTCATAATATACCCATATCAGAGCCTAATCACATATATATATATATACACATCCATGTATATCATATTAAGACCAATATCTTGAATATCATTTATAATTTATAATGCATATATAATCTAGTATAGCATCTATATTATAGATGCATGATGACCATTGATGACCACCCTTCTAATTGCCAAGTCTCCAGGACGTTTCGACCCTTGAAACCGCCAGGTTTGGCCTTGGATGCCCGTGCATCGGCACTGTATGGCCTCGATGCTTCCGGGTGAGCAGCGAGTCGGGGGGGGGCGTGTCCATGGGAAAGTCTCGGGAGCTTTGCGATATTTAAAAGATGGGAAAACCATGGGATAAACAAACTATGGGAAAAATCGACTAATTAGTCAGAAAATTATGGGAAAACCCCAAAATATGGGAATAAGTGTCTGAATCCACTGGTTCATTATCCTTTTTTCTTGTCAAAAAAAAAGTATTCTGTGGTATCTCCTGTTATACACCATCGCAAAAGACACCCAAATGTTTAGTGCAACTTGGGGATGACTCAGGACCCATCAGAATGGCATCGTGTGAACCAGTTTCTGCTCTGCTAAGGGACCAGCAGTAGTCGCCAATGGCTTTTTCCGACATCCTCTCACGAAAAACAAAGCATCATCCAAAGTGATGGTTCTAGTTCCCAACAACTCCATGTGTGAATTTTGCATTCCATATATATATAATTATATATATGAATATATATAAATGATTCGATTGTATTTTTATCGGATGATATGTTTTGGGCCTCGCCAGAAATTCAGGAACGACGAAAATCCATGGCCATGTTGGCTCAAAGTGGACGGACCGATTGACCAGCCGATCGGTTCGGTGTGTGTGAACCGATCGGTTCGGTGTGTGTGCCCAGCTCAGCAGATGGCGGTGGATCTGACAGACCAAGACCGCACATAGCCTCATGAAAGATTGTACGGTAGAAGATGTGCGAAGATCATGGAATACAGATTCAATGATTCATGTGTATATATGTCCAAGAACAGCTAGATTCAAGATGTTGGTTTCGAGATCAGGGAGCAAAAACAACACACCGCATCTCAAGGTCCACCTCCGATCCGATCAGATCCGGCTTTCAGGCACAATGGACATCAAAAATATTCCGGTCTTCAAGGCATGTGGTTGTATGTGCTGCTGCTGGGCTGCAGGATTTCAGAAATTTTCGATGCAGATCCGATGCAGATCCAGCGTAGCAGGAAACAGAAAAAACCTTGTAGAACATAAATCCTGAAGCTGTCCACTCAATTTCCACTAACAGAGAGTTTTCAATATCCCATAGGATCCATGTATGCTATATGGTAACATTTACCATCAATATACCCCAAATGTTACGTAGCATATATACCAGCACCATGGATCCTATGGGTATGGATGTTTCTGCATTTTCGGCACCTCGGATCCATGACATTTTTACAGAAGACCTTGGTGGATGCTGCATTCGCAGACCCTCATTCTTGACCAAGGTATTTTCTGGCTGATTTTCACAATCATTGTTGGCTCCCCAGTTTGCGCAAGCCGCTGGTTTTTTCTTTGGGGGTCATTGCGAAGATTGGAAACCCTACTCTACTAGAACAAGATATTCGAAAGAACTAGATTACTTACTTATATATAATTTGTATAAATATATATATATATGTACATTGATCGAGCCAAGCACGTCAACATGGAATTGGGTACGATGATGGGCCTATGGGTTTGTCTGAAAATAGTGTACCCCAAAAATTAGGAAAATTGATAGTCGACTAGTCCCAAATATTGGATGTATAACCCATTTTCAGACACACCCGTATATATATATATATAGAGGTTTCCTAAAATTATCTAAAATAGGGGTACCCCCAAATCATTCATTTATAAGTGGATGTTTCATGATTTTCCATGAAATAAACCGTCCATTTTGAGGTGCCATTTTAGAAACCCCCATCTCTGTACCAGGCTGTGATCCTCTCAATCACGTGCCCTGGCATTTGACAGAGCTGGTCTGAGCAAGAACATTGAACTATCGAAGGTGGTGGCGCATTGTGCGGCCAATTTACTGTAATTTTCTAATAATAATGATAATAATAATAACAATAGTAATAATAATAATAATAATTATTATTATTTTAATAATAAACATATATATATATATACACCTACACTATATATACGCATATGATGCTGTATCGCGCTGCAAGATGCTGCAAGCCAATTTGATTGTGTTTTCTGAAGTTTGGACGTCAGCCAACGTTCAACTTCCAACCTCTTTTTTTTCGTTGTGGCGTTCACCGTGGTCACCTCTCCTGCCCGCAGTTCTCTACACGGGTTGTGTGGGTTGTGAGGTCATGTTTTTTCGGTGTGTTGCGACCACCGAAGTTCAACGCAAAATTTCTAGTTTGCCAACTCACCTGAGGTCTATGGAACAAGGAAAATATGCAGTGCAGTTGCCGGGTCCTCTCAGTTCATCTCCCGCCGTGCGTGGAAGTGCAGTTGATGAGGAACATGCCCATGAAGCAGCGGAAATGTAATGTATAGGTTGACTTCCATGTTTCACGGATTAAATTAAATCATCTATAATGTGGTTGAAACAATAATAAACTACTCATTTGGGAATGGTTTATACCACCTATTAATGGTGATTTGGGGGATCTATATTGTTTAGTCTACAGTCTGCTTTATATCAACATATATCACCTCACGACATCCCAATTCTGATCAGCTGCCGAGAGTCAGTTCGTCGGGGGGATCCAGCCAGAGGCCGCCAACGGCGTCCAACGGTGTCCCAGTTGGATGCGTTGAGACCGTTAGTCCTACGTGACGGTAGAAATCAGGGGTTTGACAACTTGATGCTAGCGAAGAATAAGGACTTCAGATGTCTGTGAAATCTGTGAAATCTTCCTGGGACCTAGGATCTGGCTTTCACAGAGTGTTCTTGATGAGCCCGTCACCGAAGCTGGATTGAAGTGAGGAACTCAGTTGTACAAACTGCTGGTTTTCAGGATCGTTTTTGTGTCAAAATGTTGGTGCAAACATGTGCAAACCAACAACGGCGAGAACATACGTAAATGGTTTGTCCCTTTACCTTGAGATACCTCGAGTATTCTTCCTGTTGTTTTTTTTCCGGGGGGGAATTGTAAGGCGTTTTGAAGCTGTACCATGGTGAATTCCACTTGCCGCCAGCCATTTCGAAACGGCTGAGGTTTGTTGGTTTGGGCAACGCGCTCTTGGAATATCCTTCAACGTTCCAGACGATGTACTTCACGACTACAACGCAGGGAGTGCAGGCCGAAATTGATCGAAGTTGCCGATGGTGTGCGATTGGATATGCAACATGACTCACATGACCTTTGGGTTCTCATTGTTTTTCTGGTAGCGACACTAGTATAGATCCAATTGCTGTTCATGGGTTTGGTGAGGTGGGTACGTAGCATGAGGAACTAAATGACTCTTTCAACTTGTCCCAGATGCGTCTCCAAAATCCTTGTGGAACCAGTCTGAGTTTTCCCACATCCCTAGATGGTTCAACAAGGTGCATGGACCTCAGAGATTGTGGTCACCCCAAATCACGCCAGGGGTTCAATGTATCTTTAAAAAAACGTTGCCCAAACCCTCCAGGTGACTCCAGGTCCAAAATGTTTGAATAACATCCCCATCTCTTAGCATGAACATGTTTTAACCATGAGTTTTTGGAGTTCAAACCTACCTGAAGCTGTTGGAATCCCGTGCCTGAAAAATGTCAGCCATTCCACGTGTTCTGAAATCATTTTCGTTGGTGAAATATCTTTGTTCGATAGTGGATTTGGTTATTGGATATTCATGGATATTCTTGGTCATGTTTTCTGTTTTCATTTGTTTCCTATTTTTGGATGTGGCCGTGCATCCATGTATTTTGGAGATGTTTCTTGGTCAAACTCAGCCTTTCGATGTTCATTCCCATTTCTCCCAACCATCACCTGCATGTTAGTCGCACCTACCATTTTGTCGGCTCAAAACTACACAAACTTAGTGCAATATCGGGTCCCAAATCGTAGACTGGTTTATTTCTACCCAGTCTCGGTCAACTATATATATATGATATATAACAACTATATATATAATATATAATATTATACATATATATATACATTATTTTATATATTTATTTTGTATTATATGTTATATATACATTTTTTTATTATATTATATATTATTTATATCATATATATATATATATTATATTATATATATATTATTATATATAGTATATTTACTATATATAGTATATATATTTTATATAGTATATATAGTATATATAGTATTTATAGTATATATAGTATATATAGTATATATAGTATATATAGTATATATACTATATATAGTATATATAGTATACATAGTATATACAGTATATATAGTATATATAGTATATATAGTATATATAGTATATGTAGTATATATATATATAGTATATATAGTATATATAGTATATATAGTATATATAGTATATATAGTATATATGTCTATATATTAGCTAAGTCTATATATATAGTTTTAGTGCAAATAGTTTTAATTATAATTATTTGCTATATACTGTAGTTATATGTTATGTAGTTATATTCTATGTAGTTATATTTTTTACAGTTATATTTTATTTAGTTACATTGTATATCGTTATATTATATATAGTTATACTGTTTATAATTATCGTGTATTTAGCTATATGTGTATATTGAATATACTTAGTTTTATTAAATCATAGTTTTCTTTTGTTTTTGTTAATGCAGTTTTGTGCTCTACTTATAGATGAATAGCTTGATAATTTTATAGTTTTGTGTTTTTTTAGCTAACTGATATTTTTTAATTAAGCTGTATGATATACCGAATTCTTTGATAGAGACAAATATTATGATAGAATTCATATACGTATAGTAATATACATGGTATATATATTAACTCTATCACAATATATCATGTATATACATGGTTTACTGATAGTTAAATATAACATGGTATAAGCGCAGTCTATACTGTCCTTGCCGCTTCAGGCCACCTCTGAAAGCGCCTTCCCGCCCATCGTGAAGCCACCCATCCGAGCCCGCTCAGCCGATGGCCTGGAGATGTACGTCGCATGGCACGGTTCGATGTTAACATGTTGGACAAATGGGGGATCTAAAGGAATTTAATGATGATTTAATGGGAATTAATGATGACTTAACATGACTTAATGGGATTTAATGATGATTTAATGGGATTCAATGATGACTTAACATGATTTAATGGGATTTAATGATGATTTAATGGGATTTAATGATGATTCTTTCATGTGGTGAGTGTATGTGAGTGTACCCACGTACAATTTTCGTATGGGCATGGTTTAAGATCTATGGTCCCAATATTTGGGATGAACATCTCCATGTTTCCAGTTATGCTGTGAAAACCAAGGTACAAAATATAGGGTTTTGATCCATTATCAGCAAACATGCGTAAACATGTTGGTTTGTGTTTCAATGTTTTTGGCTGCGCTCAACACAAATTTGGGTTTGACATCATTTAACCAACAAAAAATGGGTTCGAACTGTATAATTAACAGATATTCATGGGATTTTATGGCGATATATTGGAATGGTTTCACATATATAAAGACTTGAAACCATTTTTATTCTTTGCCAGTGTGCGGGGTTCCAATGAAACGATCATTTTGACAGAAGAGGCCCTCTGAAGGTGGTTGACGCTGATTTTGTTGTACGTACGGCTGAACAATGAAGAAACCAAGCAATCTAGGCTGGAGCGAATGATGTGTTTATTTCCCCAATGGGGAATCCAGTTCCTGAATCCAGTTGTTTAGGGAATCTATGGGGAATATGTTTGGTTTTTTGGGTAGCAAATCCAATCAGCATCCGGAAGATCAATGGAAGCTTGGACCATGGCCAATTTTGGCATTGGGAAATCACTTTTATAAAATGGAGATGGGATAAAATGGGATAGTCTATATAAACTGATATAAACTGTAAGCATTGTGCAATCGCCCAGTTTTGGGTTTTTTCGTATATGGATCATGAGCTGTGCATTCAGTTCGGCCATGACACGGGGAAGTGATTGTCATTGTTTCACCCATCCATAAAGCATCCATCAACCATGCAAATAGGTATGAGTCAAAACTAGACACCCCCAAATTGGATGGCTAGGGCAGTGAACCGAATCTGCGTTTGCACCTTGTATTTTGGCCCATTCCCTTCTGCTTCATCCTCTTCAAATGTCTCTGTAGCAGGTCACCATCAGCTTTCAGTGGAAGTTGGAAGCACAGGCAGCGGGGTTGCGATGAAGGTCCCCATGTGATGAAGATCCCATGTGAGATCGACATCACAATGCCCCATCCGACCATTCGACCATTCGAGTGTGAAGTGGGGTCGACAAATTCCAAATGTTCATTTTAACGGGGAAACTGAAGATTGACTAATGGATTTAGAGGGTTTCCCAACATTTTCAACCCATGGACCCATGTGATTTATCAGTGGCGGTTTGTTGCGTTTGTTGCATGATGCAGCACGTGGTCATTGTGACGTTTTTGCTGGCGCAAAAAATGTGGAGGATATCCAAGCTCCCCAACAGCGGACTGTCCATCCTGGGAGGCCCTGATTGCTCTCTACAAATTACTTGGAGAAGATGGAAACCTGGATTTGCAGGTTTTAATTGAATACTTTGAAGATAGTTAGTTCTAGTCCATATATGTCCTTTTTATTGATCGTTTCAACGTGGTTTAACCAGTATGAATTATACGTATAATATGATGTGTGTATTAAAAGAACGACATGTTTAATCTTGTTTAACCATGTTAAAGCGACCTTTTCTTCAGCGTTTTTGTTGTTCGCTAAGGATATGACGACGCCTTTGTTCGCTTTGCGCGCGCGGCCATCATCAATACCTGCCGCTTGGAAAACAAATCTCGGAAAATCCACTTCAAATATCCTACTGAAAAATGGATGTTTTTAATGGGAAAATTAACTATCTTATGGAATTGATTATAAGGGAATTATGGAATTGATGTTTTTCCGATCAGCAAATCCAAGATGAGGCAAGAGTGTGAACTCCGGATTAATAAACCACGTACCAGTCTATTAATACTGGGGGTTTCCAGTTTATCGTGATTTCCCTTCAAAGAAATGGCAACCCTTCCAATTAGTAAACTGGGGGTTTCCATTACACCTGGGGGGATATGCAGGGTTTATGTTTTGGTTTTGTTAACCACCAACAACCACTATCTTTCCAGGGTTTATGGAGCATGTATCATTTGGAATGGGTTACCATTCCGTGGGGTTGGCGGAATAGCCTTGTTTCATTTCTTGGGTGCATTCAATATCCTGCATGTTCATGCATGTTCTATATTGCCATCTCAAGATGGTTCACTTTATATAATTACTGTATGTGCAAATACCAAACAGGCACCAAATATTTTATGTGTGATCCTTCTGTTCATAACCGATGGGTTATTTTCCATCAATTTTCCATCAATTTTCCTTAATCATCATATTATGTCTGTATGGAAAATTATGGAAAATTATGGAAAATTAAACCATCATATTTTTCATACACACATTTTTTCAGAGGGCTTGACACCACCAACTGGTGATGCATCAAATAGCCAATGCTCAACGGCTCAACGGCAAGGTTCCTATTTCCCGGCTGACATGTACTTCACGAACCGCACTCTGATCACTGCAAGAATGACGGAGGACCGATTCTGGGTTTGCTGCCGGTGGTGGTTTTTTTTAGCCCATAAAATGGAGCTGACCAAAAATTTGCGATACGCCACATTACCATTTTGATTCCAAACGTGATGAAAAACCCTGGGGAGTTGGGGAACTTGTTTAATGACTTTGCACACCAAGCCTGCGTGGGGATGCTTCACGCGCTGCAGGATTTGGAAAGAAATTTCCAGCTTCCTGAAAAAGGTTTGCAATGCACAATCCAAGGTGGGTTTTCCATCGAAATTTGTTCCAGTCGCTGGTGGAGTTGCCATAGCCTTAAGCGTATACTGACTTGGTTCCTTCATCCACGAGAAGGAAGCAGATGTTTGAGACTTCTGACAAAAGGCTTTTGGTTGTGGCATACGGAGTCATTTCATCCGATGTTTCATATTGTTGGTGAGCAGGACACGTTGTCAAGGTAGCTTCTGAGAACTTTCTTGAGATGTTTAATGTACCAAAGAGTTTTGCAGCGAGTTGCTTTCTCGGTTTCTTGATTCGATTCTCAGAAAACTGTTTGGACTGCTGTTTCAAAGATGTTTGTATCATCCTATTGGGCATGACGATTCAGATGGACGAAGTCGATGGCTTTGTAAACAAAAACTGTCATTGAGTCATACTAATGACATTTCCTAGTTCTGTAATGTTCTGTAATGTTATGGTTGTTGGTTTATAGCCTCACCTAACTAGTTCGATATATCATATATCAACAGTTAAAAACGTAAGCCACAAGTCAAACTAGATCAATAACTTTTGGGCCTTTGGGTTCCATAAAACACAAAAAAAATAACTAGTTCGATATACCATGGATCCAGCCATCAAGCCCCACGTATTTTTTCAGGTCTCCAGTTGCAAGAGGTGGACTTGCCAGATGAGTTTGACGTAGAGATTGCCAACACCCAAACGCAGCTGCAGGATGGAATCATGGGATGGAACGTGTGGAACCCAAAAAAAAAACGGATCAATAGCTTTCAAGAGCTATGAACTAATAGAATTTACCCTCTGGTTATGTCAAAATAGCTATTGAAAATGACCATTAATAGTGGATTTTCCCATGAAAAATGGTGATTTTCCATTGCCATGTTAGTTTACCAGAGGGTAATAGAATTTAACGGATAACTATTCATAGTTAGTCATTGTTTCGTGCAGTATATTAATTTAGATCTTATATGTCTTACCTCAAACTCCTCGATGCCACTGAAGGTTGCAATTAAGGGTACTATCTAATCTGAGCCCACAAATTGGCTTTGGGATTTGATTTAGATTGTCATTGATGGTCTCTAGTATCTATATCTGGTTGGTGGTTTGGAACATTTTTTATTTTTCCATATATTGGGAATAATCATCCCAATTGACTAATATGTTTCAAGATGGTTCAAACCACCAACCAGTATATTATTGGTGAATTGTCCCCAAAAATGTTAGTCAAATCCAACGTTTGTCGTTGGATTGTTGCTGCAAAAAAATGGATGTCATCCGCCTGAAAAATCACCACATGGACGTTTGCTGGTGTTGCTGCAACGTCTTCGAGTTTGTTTGCCAAAGTGACAAACGACGCTGTTGCGGTAAGTGGGCCCATCTCTTAAAAGGCGATAATACAGTTTGATGACAAATGGTGCAGGATGATAAAGTATGAGATTTGGGGGGATATAATCGCCCAATTTTGAGACATGCCTACGTGGTCTTGTCATGTCTTGTCATCCACTGATTTATCAGGGACAGGACTCCCTCGCCAACCAATTTAGTCCAGTCCATCACAGATTCTGGCTCCATGACTCCATTGCAGGAACTGGAAGTTGCATATGCTGAGAGGGTGGAGAGGGAAGTTGCCATGCAAACTGAATCTGGGCACAGAGTTTCACTGTTGCTGTGGTCAATGATGATGGTCAATGTTTCCGGTTGTTCGGCGTTTTCGGCGAAATGGGGGCCCAGGAGTTGATCCTGCACGCAAGGGTCACAATTTGATTCTATCCTCACCCTGGATGATAGAATTTTTATACCATGTTGGAATCGCTCAAAAAATATATATTATATATTTTAAATTTAAAAAATGAATAAATATATGATAATATATATATAATGATATATGAACATATCTCAAAATGACATACTTGACCCGATAGTGGATAGTTTGATCCTGAAACTGACCTGCATGGGAGCAAAAATTGCCCGGCCAGTTCCCCGGGCCCTAGGAACTCCTGGTTTCCCAGCAGCAGGCTGGCCCAACAATTCGATTTCTCACATGTTGGATTCATCCACATTTTCTCATGATTCCTATGTTGGATTTTACCAAAAAATAGAAACATATCCTCAGGTTTAGATGGGTTTTGTCCCATTTCTGATGTGAAACTGGCCCCCGAATGAGAACAGAAGTCTCATCAGTACCAAATTGTCAGTTGTTTTTTGCAGGTCCTTCGGATTTTGGAGACCCAGAGCGGTCAAGCTCGTGGTTTCCTGGAGCTCAACGATGCGGAGGCCTGGGGTCCCCGGGCTTCGGCTGACCAGGGCCGAAACCAGGATGTTCATCTCGTTTCCGGGGAATCTTCATACTCCCAGGTTTAATTACTCCAATCCATACAGCTGTTAAGTGGCTGTTAAGTGTGATTTCATGTTGGATCCTGATTTGCCGGTACCATAACCCCCCAAACAAAGACTATACACTCTATAAAGTTGGTTTTCCAAAAGCTGTTCCCCAGACAAGATGCAATCATACATTGAATGTACGGATTTTAATTGGTGATAGCTGAAATTTAAAACTTGTTTTTTTTGTTGACTGGTGAACTTGTAGTACTTGTCGTAATTGTAGTGACTGGGGTTCAGCATGTTAATTGCTTCACTTTTCGAGTTTGTTCTTAGGAAGGGTGTAATGAGATCCTTTAGGACAGGCAGACAAGCAATATTTGTTTAGCGAAAAATGCTATAGTTAAATCACACGAACAAGTGCTTTCTCTTCAACAAACATGAACTGACAAAAAATGAGCACAATAGCGAACCCAGACCCAAATACATTTCTTGCCACAATTGTGCACCCAGCTACTAGTCAGCATCTAACATTATAATATCCCATAGGATCCATGTATGGTATATATGCTAACATTTGGGGTATATTTATGGTAAATGTGACCATATATAGCATACATGGATCCTATGGGTATTATAGTGGATATAACTCGATATATGATATCCGTAGAGGGCGTTGCCCAAAGAGATAGAAAAGTCAAATCCTAGGAAATTCCGACCATGATCATTATATGTACCTAATAATAAATGTGCCATGTGAATCAATATTATAAATATTGCACATGCGTCTGTCTATAGATATTTGATTGTTTAATGCATGAATATATTATTATGTATATATATATGCATAACACAAACAAACATGGTTTGTTCTGCACTTCACCTTGGGTCTTGCAGCGACGAGGGTATGTTTCCTAACATCGGGCGAGACCCTCACGGTCCTTGAAGAAGAATTACACTTATTGTACTTTTTTCTTTACGGACCGTGAGTGTAAGGCCCAACCGTCAAGGCCGCGAAGAAAGCCTTGGCAGCTAAGGTTGCCATTTCCAGATTCAAACAAAGATTTCTTGTCGAATATGGTTCGCGTGAGATACAGGATGAAGTTCTAGCTCTGCCTTAAGATCCAGCTGGTGGTCTTGGAATTCTGGCCACCTGATGAAGAAATCCCAATTTTTGGCAAAGAATGATGGCAAGACGCCCTTGTGAAACACGCTGCGGAGCAGGGACATGTTCAACTTATGGAAGTGTTGAGGCAGGAGCACAGATGAGCCGCTCAAAATGGCCACCTTTACGCCGTACGGTTTTTGGTCGAAGGTACAGCAAAAGATCAAGCCACTAACACTGGTGCATCCCCCTTGTTGCTTGCAGCTCACAAGGGCCACCTTGACATTGTGCGGTAGTGGAAAATGCTGCGGCCAAGGATCAAGCAGATAACATTGGTGCAGCTTTTGACTCATTTTTTTTGTGGGGTCCTTTTGGGTGAGTTTGTTGATGCTTTATAACGGTCAAACATTGGAATTAAATTTCGATTTCACCACATTAAATGTGGTCTATACAGAATCAAATGCAAATTTATATGTGTGTGGTGGCAAAATATAACGACCTCACTGACCTCACCCCCAATCTTACCCTCAGTGATCGGAAACATAGGGAAACTATCCCTTTGGGATGGATGATTTCAACTTAAATATAGTGATTTGCCCAAGGATATTGTACTAGAACCCTAGTTTTCTGGCTGGCAATGGACTTGATATTGTATGATAGGTTCCAACCTGCAGATTCACGGATTTCTTCTGGCGAGTCTGTGTGTGGAGCCACTGTTTTCCAACCCGGTTCCAGCCCTGGTGGAATGGACGGGTTGGATATGTTTGGATCTATTGGGGTCCCATAGAGCCATCGATTTGGGCACAATTGGGGTCTCTTATTGTGTTCTTTATGTTACTTTTGTTTCTTTATATATTTTGTTTGGAATGATAGGGAGGACAAGGATTAGGCGAAAAAAAACAACTGTGCTTGTGATTTTGTTCCCTTGGGTCAGGTGGATCAGCAGCTGCTGTTTCAGCAGCGGCAGGAGAGGGGTGGTGCCCGGTCGATGCTTTCATGGAGCAGTTTATTATCCTCCGTTCAACTAACGTAGCTGTGGGAAAATGCAGCGTTTGTAGACGATTGACCTAGAAATCATAGTGCTTGTCCGACAAGCTGCTTAGCATTGCTTAGCTATGTCAAATTACCAGAGGGTAATCTCTGCGTTTTTCAATGCGGCCCCGGTGGTTTTTGAATCTTTGGATTTTCAGAGGGATGGTCCCCGGTAGTTGAGAACCAGGATTCTGTGTGCTCCCAAAGTTGCAACGTGGTAAAATTGGGGGATGGTAAAAGATGGTAAAAGTTTTACCACATATAGCAATGGTCGATAGCTGAAATTGCTGATGTTGTAGCTTTTGCAACCCTGTAAGTTCAGAGAGAGTCTGTGATGCATTCGATTACAAGGAAAAATACATTGAAGGGTTGTCACAGGATGTCGTCAAGTTTTCTCCTCAGCAGAAGACCAACCAGGGTTGCCCAACGCGCTCCAGCACTCCTTTATGGTGTTGTCTTTGCCAAAGAGTTTAAGCCATCTTTTCCTATGGGTACTCCATGATCAATATTTTCGGATGGTTGCATGGAGTTTAGCCATAGATGTGGCCAGCATTGTTTCAGCATTTATGGGAAATTCGATGGGTAACACCATGTATCAAACAGGGGATCAACAAACTGCCCTTGTTGAAACCCGCCAAATGATGGCTTCGGAGTTGCAGGCCGTCGCCAACAATGAAATTCTGCAAATCTTCGAGAACGATGCGCAGCCATTTGAGAGGTCGGAGAGTTTCTTTCTGTCCGTGTTGCCAACCAGATCCAATGTACATATCATGTATATATATATAATATGATCATATATGTATATATGTATATATATGTATATATGAATATGTATATTGTAGTATATGTATATATATATATTACAATCCTGTGCATATGATAATATTAATATATATATATATACACACAGACTTCCTGAAAATCCTCAAATTCAGGACACAACGATCCACAGCTGTCCTTTCTAAAAATGACCAACGTGAGATGATATTGGATTCCTCAATTTGAGTACATCCCCTTCCCAGAAGGATAGATATCAATATCATCACTACTGTGCCACTACTGTTCTTCCAAGATGTGTTGAAGTGAAACCTGTCTCATAGAAAATGTTTGCGTGACTGCATATTTCGGCAGCATGCCCTAAACATTCACGAAACCTAAAACCCGAAAACTGGCGGAATCTTGTTACAAACTGCAGGGATATGGTGTGCTCACCTTAGATATCAGTCCAGTTTTCGCATGGTTTCGCAAAGTTAACCTGTGTTCTGTATCTCCACAGTTAATATATCAATTTGGAATAAATTGGATTATGGATTGATCCAATATGATCCATCACATCCATGATCTGGAGCATGGAGATTCGCAGGCTCTTTGACATTATGGAGATTCGCATGCTGGAGGAACACAATGCGGACAACCTCATGTTCAATGTGCAATGAGAAGAAAATGAGTAGAAGAGCAGAAAGAACGCACCAGGTGTTACTACCGCACTCCGTGTGCTTTCTTTTGCAACACAACGTAAGGTGGTGTAAAAAAGCGACATATCTTAACTCAACAGGCTGCTTTTCAATCTCTCTGGTATCCCTTCTAACTTCTAGAAGATGTGCTTCCGTTCGCCTGGCGCGACTCAGAGGAATATGTTTTCATATGTTTTCGTGCCTTGATGTGCCTTGGCTTTGCAGACAGTCCGTGCCAACAGATGGCATGAAAGACTGCTCTTCGAGGCTGTTTTCAGGAGCACAGTTGAGCCCTGTCCAGCAAATCCTGCAGAGACAGCTCATGAACTGTTCCTAAACATTCCCAAACCAGGACTAAGAAAGACAATAAGGAGACAGTCGGAACATCTTGCTAGAATGCTGAAATGTTGCTGTCTTTTTGCGCGTATCCTGCTATTTCACGTGAGAGTCGCAATCGTCCTGATACGACACGTTGATTGTCAGCGCTGTGAGTCTTTCTGCAGTTTTATATAATTCAAATTTAGGATTAGTTTACGCAACCACGACGACCAAACATCTATGAACGAAAGTAGATGAATCTGTTCATAAACTGGAGCAAAGACTTCTGTTCCAGCAAGGAGACTTCGTTTCTTCATATCAGGCAGCATTTTGACTCTCAGCAGTGCGATCTCAGCTCCGCACAACTGGCCTTGCTTGAAAGGCGAGGCAGTCCATCGTCAGTTCCTCCCTGAAAGGGATGGGACCGGTCTCACGATATGGAAAAAACGAGCTGCGCGGCGCTGGGATGGGGCATTCATGGAGATGAGCCAACCATTGAAACAGGGTTGCTTCACCAACCCCAGGTAAATGATAGTTACTTTCGTGGGGAAACCATGTGCTTCGGAAACTCACATGTCCTTTGATCTGTGTTTTTTTATTGGAATGTTGGGCCCGAGTAGTTTTGCTTTCCTTTTTTTTTCAGAAAATAGCATGCCCCGAACTCGACTGGGGTATCATCATGCTCTCATTCCTACAATAATCCTAAGTGTCCAAAAATCCAAAGGTGCCATGGTCACTCTCTTTCAAAAGTTCATGCTCATCCCACCATCAAGAGGTGTTAGTTGACAGTCATTATTACCGTTGTGAGGAATCCCATGATTGTGGGAAGACCATGACCCCAAAAAAACAAAGTGAAACATATCTTCCGGTGATTAAACGCATAGCTATCGAAAATCACCATGTTTAATTACGATAAATCATTATCAATCCATGTTTTATCATCTATAAATATAGATGTTTTTTTTTCATCCATGTTCCAAGTTTCAAACTGTTACGCAACCAGAGGGTACAACTTGACCATGGCACACCTCTTCACCCTTTGAGGGTGTTCCCCATCCATCGCAGGCAGTCCCTGTTGCACTTGGCGGCGGCGCTGCCGAGTCTATCTACCAGTCGAGAGGTGGTGAAGCCATGGCGAATGGGCGAATCACCGAAGTTGACCCATCAAATGCAGTTATGGCCATTTACCAGTTATAAGTGGTTATAAATGGGATTATACATTCTATAAATGGGGTTATAAGTATGGTCACCGACAGAATTATGGAAAAAAAAAACGTTCAACTTAGACAGGCGGCGCCTGCGTCCGATTTTTCCATAATTGGATTTTTCCCCATAAGGGTTCAAAATATCCCGGAAGTGATCCGAACCTTTTTTTTTCCATAATTCTTGGAGGTGGCCATTATTTCCATAATTGATTTTTCCTGTGAAATCAGTGGCCTAGGGCAGATTGACCGGTTTTTCCATAATTATTTTTTCCATAATTATGTTTTCCATAATTAATGTTTGGGGCTCCACCTGTTGGACATGTCATGGATCCACAATTCAATGATATTATGTATATCAATGGCAGGCTTTAGGGGCATATACCAGATCTTTAGACACATATTTTCTAGAATTCAATATTCCCCCTTAAAATGCATTCAAATTGCGAACATCACATCATGATATTATGTATATCAATGGAAGACTTAGGGGCATATACCAGATCTTTAGACACATTTTTTCTATAATTCAATATTCCCCCTTAAAATGCATTCAAATTGCGAATCGATGGTAATACAGTCACCGACAGAATTATGGAAAAAAAATAATTATGGAAAAAATAATTATGGAAAGAAAAAGGTTCGTAACTTTTCTATCATAGACAGGCGGCGCCTGTAAATTGAAACGTTTTTTTTTTTCCATAATTCTGTCGGTGACTGTACTTATAACTGATAAATGGCCATAACTGTGGGGATTGGTGGGCCACCAATTTGCCATAATACTCCGAACAGTTGATGGTCTAATGTTACGGCAAGACCCTGAGGTCTGCCCGGACTCGCAGTCCGGGCAAGTCAAGGTGACGATGACGATGACTACGACGACGGCGACGACGACGATGATGACGATGACAATAATGACGATGATGACAAGAATGACGATGATGAAGGTGGTGAAGATGACGATGACGATGAGGATGACGTGGATGATGATGATGATGATGATGATGATGATGATGATGATGATGATGATGATGGTCGTGGGGTGGTGATGATGGTGATGGTCGTGGGGGTGGTGATGATGGTGATGATGGTCATGGTGAAGATGACGATGACGATGTGGATGACGTGGATGATGATGATGATGATGATGATGATGATGATGATGATGATGATGATGATGATGATGATGGTCGTGGGGGTGGTGATGATGGTGATGGCCGTGGGGGTGGTGATGATGGTGATGGTCGTGGGGGTGGTGATGATGGTGATGGTCGTGGGGGTGGTGATGATGGTGATGATGGTCATGGGTGGTGGTGATGATGGTGATGATGATGGTGATGATGTGGTGATGATGATGATGATGATGAATGATATGATGATGATGATGATGATGATTTTGATATCTTCTTGAAACCCTATAATTAAGAAACCTCAATGACTGCATGGTTAATTCTTCGATGGGGCCAGGGGATTTTGATATCTGAGCCCCTGTACAAAAGCCTATTGATTGTATGGTTAATTGTTCCATGGGGCCGGGGGATTTTGATATCTTCTTGAAACCCTATGAGAAACCCTATGAGAAACCCTAATGACTGTATGATTAATTCCAGACATGTTCTGGTTATATGATATGTAGAAGCAACTTGTTCTGGTTAACACGCTCGCAACATAATTGAACATTTAAATTCCTTTCCGTTGTTTGACATTGTACAGAATTCCTTGGTGTAAACACGCTATTCTGGGCTTGGGCAAACATAGGGGTCTGTGTTTTTTTTTCTTATGAGGATCGCAGTATCAGCAGGTTTTTTGCCAGGGACATTGTTACAGTAACCAGAGGAGCTGAGCCCTCCCGCTTCCAATGTTGCGAATGTGAGGATCGGTAGAAATTCACTCAGATCGATCCACTGAGCAACATCCAGTCACTATAGGGCCTAGTTTGTGGGGACCTGCTGCCGGGTAACTTCACCCAAAGGACTTGTGCATTGAAGCTATCTCATCAAATGATTCCGCTATTAAACACTTGGCAAAGTGTGGGTGATTCTACCCCTCAGGATGAAATGCTCTGAAATACATATCCCCCAGTCAAGGAGAGAATGGGCCTAACTATGTCTAACTCATTGCATGATATCCATTTGATGCTGCCTTGATTCATCCAACTGACGGGGCAATCATTCCGTTTAAAAGTTTAAAAGGTATTTTGGTATGGATCAAAATTGACCGGTAACTTCTCAGTTTCCTCCAAGAATGGCTCCAAAAAATGGCTTAAACATTGCAGTTTCTCCATAGTGTTCTCCATGTTCCTCCATTGATCGATGGTTTCCGCAGGCAGTGTTGCGGCTTCTGACCCAAGAGGTGCGAAACGCGGCAGATGTGACAAGCTCCAGAGTGGATTGTGCCTGTGAAAGTATTTAGATCCTCCAAATACCCCCCAAAAAAATTGTAAAAGTACTAGAAATATGAGGTATAAGAGCAGCATTTTATGGGTACTTGGAGGGTCTAGCTATGGAGTTCTTGAAGTCCCAAAGGATAGGACATCAGTGATGAAACACCATCATAACTGTAGTTGGGACTCGACGAGCTGTTCCTCTCAGACATGGCTCAAAATGGAGTCTACCCCAAGGGAATTCCGAAAAAAGAGATGATAAACTGACTGATAAACACTTGAATTGTCAAGGTATCATAGGGTATCCCATTTTTGGACAAAGACATGTAGTTGTGGAACTGGGATGATGTAGTTTGGTTATTTTAAGTCAAGGCCATGCACTACCTTGCCTCATGAGGAATGCGCACTGCTTCAAGGGATTGCTTGCGAGTTAGTTCTGTGGAAAACAAACAGGTTCTTGGCCAATTGATTTCCTTTCTGCTGAAACTCGATCAATACTTCTGAAGATGTTTCAGTTGAATCACATTTGAATCACTTCGATCATGTTATGTGTGCAAGATATTGCAAGGTTTATGTATGGTCGTACATACACATCACGTTATATATGTATATATATAGCCTATATAGCAATCCCCACATAAGACAAGTCCAATTAAATATATTTCAAATTTCAATGTCGGATGACGCTCGCCTCCAGGGGCCTCTAAAGACACCCCTGTTTTTCACGGCTCACCTCCATGGCAGGTAACGTCTGCGTTACGAGGTGCGAGAACCAGTGAATTGATGATGAAAGATAGGGAGTTCCCAGAGTTCGCCAACAAAAATTTCTTCAGACTTGGGTAGGTCTTAGGTCTGTGTGTCTAAACGAAAATAAGATGGAGAAACCCCAAAAATCGAGTGATTGCAAGACGTCGTGTTCCACGGGAATAAACTCTGCACTACATGTAAGTATACAATATACCCCCTTTCTGAACGAACCTTCATAAGTAGATATGGGTCACAATGTCAAGCCCAGATACCAGCAACTGCAGGTTCGTTCATGTGCTTAGCATTAACCAACCAATTATATGACCCAACAATCATTGTCAGGGTACTAATTTTGACCAGTAGTACTGTGGTAAATCCAATAGTGAACCAGCCCGAATTAGAC